CATGGGATCCTATGGATTGTCACAGTACTTGTCCCTGATGCACAGTCATATAAGTGTCTCAAGTGCCTCACTGGAACCGATCCGTTTGGAACCACTGGAGGTGCTCACGTGATCCACAGTTTCGCAAGACGAACCAGTTCGACACCGTGGATCACTCCAGGTAGATCCCGGTGTGTCGATCCGAACCCGTAGGCACTCCGGGGCCTTCGCAAAGGCAGGCGCTTTCTTGCCCAGATCTTCGATGCCCATTCTCCATCCCGGAGCTTGAAACATAGCAGAGATGGGATACCGAGAGGTCTCTCCATATGTGCAGTGTGAATCCCTAGGGATCCAAGTACCTTCTCAGCAGGTGATTGGAGACACCGCTATGTAGGTTTGGAGGGTCCAAGTACCTTCTGAGAAGGTACTTGGATCCCTAGGGAATGGAATACACCATGTTCAATGAATATTGAAGATACAGCATTCATGATGTATTGATGTGGATTGAATATTGAAGTCGGGTGAGCCCCCAAGCAACGGGATTTCGTTGGACATCAACCAGGGGTTTCGTTTTTTCACTGTGCGGGTCCAACTGCACAGGACCCCTTGTGTCACGTCACCCGGCAGCAGTGCAGTCATTTGCGCTGAGAACATCGAGGTGTAGACGATGCAAGTTGATTCCATTTGTAGGTCCTGAGATGGAACAAAATAGAACCAAAAGGGAAATCTATGCAGCATAGTTGGGTCAAAGATGGTTCAAAGTATGTATGATAGAATTAGATTCTAGACGGTTCCAAACTGTTCAAGAATCATATTTTGATGTTGCCATCTTCCAACTACTTGGAGCCAGATTGGCGCGAAAACCCCTTGCCTAGCCTGGGTTTCTTGCAGGCCCATGGCGTTGGAAGGTGAGGGATCCCATTTGGAGGGCCGAAGAGCGACCCAAACAACGCCAGCGCAAGTCCGACCACGTCGGATGAGATACGACGTGCATGGCATTCGGTCGAGACCGGAGCGGTCGTCCAAGGCCTTTCCTGCGAACTTCACGGTGGAGGGTGTGAGTGGCTTGGTGGAAGACGGGTTTGATTCATGTGGCGGAAAGCGCACACATTTCGGGAGCCGAAAGAAACACAGAAACCGAACTTCTTGGTGACCGAAAAAAACGGGAATGTTCTTCATTGGGGTGCTTTGGGGCGTCTGAAGGGAGTGGATGCTTCAGGAATACCTGTTCATCATCTTTCATCCAGGAACTCAGAAGAAAACCCAGTTGCATCTTCAGAGGACTGGCAAAAGGAAGATGAGACGCATGGATCTTGGTCTAAGCTTGGACTTCACTCATCACTCATGCTATCTCATGTTCTTGGTCTCATTGGCCGAGGCCTGAAAATGGGTTCCATCTTACCGACGACCAGAAAATCCGGCACTCAACCACTCACTAACCACTCCTTGAAGAGTCACGGTTCCGTGGGGGTCCCTGGACTTGAAGGAAGCCACTCCTCACATGTCATGAGACTTCCTTCATCTCCATTTCATCTCCGTATTCACTCCAAGTCTCAAGCCAGAAGACTGCAGCTGACCCACCCCTGAAGTTCACAGGCCTTGCCTTTCCATCCACCTTCACTTTCCATCCAGCAGTTCCATGAGGCTTTCCCAGCATGGAGCACTTTTGGCAAGCTTCGCCCTTCCTGGGCCTCAACGACCAGCTCGTGCGCCAGATCGCCGCAGCCCCGCTGGACGACGCCATCATCCTCGCGGGGGGCGAGTCACTGCAGGGCCGCAGCGACTGGCGGGACAAGCGCCAGGAGCTCCTCGAGCTTGGCCTCCAAGCCAAGGCAACGGCAAGCTGCGAAGACGTCCGTTTCATGAGCGCATCACTAGAATTCCGCGACTGTGGAGATTGTGCCTGTGAACCACGGACACGGCTGTGAGTCGCTCAACCAACCAACTAACTAACCAACCAACCAACCAACCTAGAATCACCAGAACTACCAATACCACCTGAAAGGGCGCCATTGCCATCGCACGTCGAGAATTGAGAGAAGTCTCGAGCTACTCGAGCACCGGTGGTGTTTGGGGGGAATGATGGGGAATTTGTTGTTTTCATATATTATGTAGTGTACCGGCAAGATGGTGATTCACACTGAACTCCTTGGACATCCCTTGGCCATCTATAGATCACCTTGAGGAGCTCGTCGATACGAGCTGGCGCAGGACGTCGTTTTTGGATTGGCGGGGGTACTGAGTGGCAACGCTCATTGGGCGGTCCCTTACACAGTCAGCATGGAGAACCTTCAGCCTTTTTGCGGGATGTCACAAGGGTTCCATCGTTTTCCTGTCCTAACTGATGTAGATATGCCTCTTGAGAAGCAGCCTTGCTTTTAGTCTCACGACAAAGTTGAGGGATTATTTACATAATCATATATATATATATACACAGTCCAACCATTGATGGAAAGCTAGGAATGGACTGCTGTTTCATTGTGGCACCAATGAGGTCTTCAATAACCTCACCCTTTGACCATCAATGCAGAGATCGGTGCTTTGAACCAACCAGAGTCTTTGAGTCCGAGCTAGTCAGCGCGTCTCCTTCACAGCGGCTGCACAGGCGGAACAGAATAGCACCTTCAAGGAGGCCTTGCTGGCCACCGGTGATAAGACCTTGGTCTTCCTGGAAGCTGACCCCTGGGCCGGCATGACCGCACCAGGCCCGGACCGGAGGGTCATACCAGTGACCGGTCACGTGACCGGTGAGATACTTGGAGCTGAGTAGGTCAGATGAATGGAAGATAGTCGAAGGAATTTAGAGTTGTTGGATGGATTTTCTCAGGAAAATCCCGCCTAATCCACCAAGACACACGCCAAAGCCGGTGCCACACGGACACGCGGAGAGGTGGTTTGGCGACTGGCCAGAACCATGTGGGGAAGGCAGGATGAGCTGACTGGGCGAGAGTGGCCCTTGGGCAGCGGCACAACCAGTGAGATCTAACCCCCTAAAAGAAACGAACTAGCCAATCAACTATAGATATTTGATGATATTTGTTTTTGCAGCACCACGGTGGTTTGGTCAGCACCATTCAAATCAAGTTGGGTATCCATACGGTATCAATGGGGGAGAGACTTCCTCCAGCCAGGTGAGGGCCCGCTATATCAAACTGTTCCGGAAGTGGAAAAAACAGATGTTGCAAAAGAGTCTGTGTTTTTCAAATGGTGTTTGTTGGTCTTTATTCCTGTGTTTTTTCACAGCAAGTTGATGGATTCGAAACCGTTCGAAACCTCCAACGCCAACGGGTACCCGCCAACGCCTGCAACCCACGCGGTGACCCGTTTCAACCGGTTCCGGAGTGAACGGAACGGTGCTGCCGCGAGCGGGTCGATTCGGAGTGCCACCGAGTGGAGGACGATCGCCCGTTTGGGGATGGAAGAAGCCAATGGAAAAAGCAAAGGAAAGCACCTCACAATGTATACCTACCAGCACCCTCCAACAGGCTGTTTGGAGACCCTAACAGGTGCTAGAAGCCTTTCTTAACCCGGCTCGGCTCGGGTTTCTGCCGCTTTTTTTTGCGGCCAGAAGCCTCTGCCAGGAGCTTCTAGGTATTGGGCGATCCGTGCCACGAATACTCTTTGTTTGGGGGGAACCACTATTTCAGAATTGTGTTTAAACTCGCCGTCAACGTTTGCACAGCAGCTATACTCTTTCAATAGAAATTTGCCCAAATCAAGATTCTTCAGCTGTGATCTTTGTCAACAATTCCTGATCACATCGACTACTAGAATTCCTCCAAAGCCAGGCTTCTCGGCACATGCCGCACAACATTCAATAGACACAAACCATATCCCAAGCATTCCAACGCTCACAAGCATTCCATGGAACACCGGCCCCCCAAAAAGGAGGGTCAACCTGCTTCCACGCATGATGCCCTATGGCACCTGACACCCCATTTCGACCCCACCCAGGCGCTCATGGAGCTTCGTGAGAAGCTGAGATCGTCGGCCTAATCTAGTCGACACCGAAGAGTCCTTCGGCAAAAAAAACCGATCGGCGGCCGGGCATGCTCGACTGCAGGGTGGATTCTGAGATCCTTGGGAAGACCGTTGGATCATGGTTGATCAAAGTGAAGTATCCTAAAAATGGGCCTAACAGGTGTGAGCGAACCGTATATCTCGAAGGGATTCTGTGGATTCTGATGGATTCTTGGAGCAAGAGATTGCTGCACTTGAAACGTTGGTCGAGGCTTTGCTGTTGATCCGGACCCTTAGGATTCGACAGTCTGTGTATAAACCATATCAGTTGGTAACAAGCACACTTGATGCAGATTTGGAGAGTGCTAGCAGCTGCTAGCAGCTGCCTGCCCAGCGCTTTGTTCACATTATTCCTGGCTCAAGATGGTGTCACCTCAGCTAGGCTGAAGCTTGAGAACACGGTGATTTAAAGAACAAGTTTGCCCAAATGATCGCGTGAGGAAGGCCGTTTCGGAAGCCCGTGCTAGATATATTATGATATATTAAGTATCATGAAGTATCGATGTATCGGTCACATATGGCCAGTTCGTGGTGTGGTTTTGGACTTCGCATCACTCCCTGGACTGGTCGGATGACCTGCCAAGCCAAGACGACATGGACGCAACAGGTTTTAGGTGAGTTTTCCCGGCAAAAAGGTGATCTAAGCGTCCAAAGTGTTTGATGTTTCTAGAGGGCCATGTCTGGATGGGCCTACCCAACTGTGGCACGAAGTCGTTTCTTTCCTAGTAGATTCCACTTTCTCAAAGATCCACTGACAACCCAAACCAATAGCTGCACCTAAGCTGCGGAGTCTGAAGCAGAGGCCAAGCCAAGCACTGCAGAGTCTGCGTGATGTTCCAGCCCCTTTCAGACCGTTTTGCACCCAAAAACACCCGGGATCCCCGTGCAGATTGGGCATGTGACCATCTAGATACCTCCACTTTGAAGAAATCGTGCCAAGTGGGACTGAAACCTTTCGCCTCGCCCTGAAGCACGCGCTTTTACGCCCTCTGGGCATCGCCATGTCTTCGGGCTTTGGCGGTGCACGAGTCAATCAGCAGGATACCAAGCAGAAAGAGTTCTCCACCATCAACAAGGACCAGTAGTTGTTTTCCAAAAATGACCTGGAAGAGATTCGGCGGCGGTTGTTTGATCTGCCTTCAGCGATTCAGAAATTGATTTCTTACAAATCCAATGAGACTCAGACATGTTCTTCACCTTGGTGCATGTTTCTGGTATAGCCTTATGTAAGCGTTCTTGGTTTGCCAGCGCCTGGTTAGTTTGAACTTGAACGCAACCTACTTATTCCTTGCCACCAGGTGTAGACCAGAAGGGCCCTCTCCGACTGGTTAACATGGAAGTGGGAACCCCCTTGCTCTCAAAAAGAAAAGAGTCATATAAAAGGGATCGTTGTCCACTTCCGTGTTGGTGACTCGGCTGAAATCCTCCTGGGTCCCCTGGAGAACTGATAGAGAGAGATCAGTCATGGCCGGATGGCCTCAGAAGCAGTGCTTAACCACCTGTGCATTGCGCGTCTTCGTCTCGTCAACTGCCCCCCCTGACCACCCGAATGAAGGTGCATCTTTCGGGAAGACGCAGAGGCGCGCGCGCGCCTGCTCTCCTCTGCTCTCCTCGTGTCGTCCATGCGTGTACTCCTTGTCCCGTGGCAGGATGGAAAGACGGTTTGGGAGCCTGGCTTACCCGCCCTGGTCACCAGCCGACGTCAGCATCGTTCCAAACAGACTGCTACGGTGGTGGAGGTGGGCTGATGGGATGAGGATGAGGCGTCCGTGCGGAGACGGGTGAAACATCGAATGCCCGGTGCGTCATTTCGCCCGGTGAAAGGGACCGCAATGGTCCACTGAGAAGGTGCTTGCCATGTGCAAAACATCACTCAATAAACATGGTCTCATGAGTAACGAAGAATGCAGGAGCACAAGAAGGGTGATTTTGGCCTCAGCACTGAGGGGTTTGTGGTTTCCACTCTTCATGGCGGCAGGAACCTCCAGTGCCTTGTGATCTCAAGGCCACCTTGAAGCTTGGCGTTGCTCTTCAGCTTCTCATGTTCTTGAAGTGTGTCGTGCAATTCCCTAGCTCAATCTTCCCTATCAGCAAACGAACCACCCACCTCCCGTCTCCGTTCAAAGCAGACCGATAAAGGCACACGAACTCCCCGAGCCGAGGAAGATGTCAGCTCCAAGCAAGACGGAATGGCTGGAAAAGGTCCTCAAAGCCAAAGCCAAAGCGCAGGACTCTCTTCTTCAAGGATCAGTGGCCATTTTTGAGGGATCAGTGGCTGGTTTGGATGACACAACTGTTTACAACACTGAGTAGCCCCAACCCAGGGCGATTGGACCGGAGAAGGAATGCGGGAAAAGCTAGTGAAATGGCTCACGCGCTCACGCACTGCTAACCTAGATTGTTGCGGATCAACCATCTCCGCACTGGATGGAGAAACCATGGGAAAACCACTGAAGAGGGCCTCAGTGAAGCACATCGGAGCGGACACCTGACCGCTGACCTGACCGCTCCACCGGGCCAGGACGTCTTCAACATCGTGACGCACCCGAAGTTCGCCTCTGGGGTCTCGGAGAAGTATGGGAAGAAGATGTTCCAGATGGTGGCGGAACTTTGGATGCGTCAGCTTGATCGGATGGGGGATTGGGGTCTGATTCGGATGGACCTGGTGTCAGAGGATGGACTCCCAAAAGAGACGACATCTACTATTTTACCTGTAAGTGTCGCTTGGTAGGTATCATCAGCAGTTGAGGAGGCCATGTTGGCTCAAAGATGTTCAAAGAACAGCCGCATTTATTTGGATACTGATATTGTATATGACTATTGGTGTCGGCTTAGGCCGCTTAGGCCCCGCTTAGGCCCATTGCCGTCTTCGTGGATAGGATGCAGTGAGCTCTTGATAGAGTCGATTTGCTGTTTCCAGATAGGTTGGGCAAATAATGGCAAATATACGCTGTAGACTCGTACATTGCAAGGAGCACAAGGTGAATGCCGGTCAGGACATGAATTGGCATATTACATGTGATTGCATATAGAAAAAAGAATCAAGCTGGTGGTCAGACTGAGACCGGCTTCTCGCCCATTTTGTGTGGGGGGCGGTCTCAGCGTGTAGGGACCGTTCGGAGGAACCATTGGGGGGGGCTGGGGCCTTAAATCAGGCAACATGCCACCAAACCAACAGAGGTTAAGTGACCTTATAGGACCCTACCAGGGTACCTATGGGATAGTCTATAGGGTTCTTCAACCTCTTTGAATGTTAGGTGTGCAAGACTTGAGAGCACCTGGTTTTTGAAGCGCTTGATGAAGCCAGCCCTCTCAACTCGTCCAGCCGTTTGAAGTGATGACCTGATAGAACATTTGGTGGTGGACCATTCACATCATTCACTTCATGGAACATCCATGATCTTCATGATGACCTTGCCCCATCAGTGTCGTACTTACTTTGATCCAAGGTCTTCTGAACTGAAAACAATACGATGCGAAGAAAACCCTCCGTCCCTTCATCTCGCGTTGCAAAAAACCTCGGAGTGTGTTTCTGGACCTCTGAGGAGCATATGGATCACTTCTCCGACAAGCAGCGCCTCACATTGTCCAGGCGCCTCCTTCGGTGTTGGGGTGTTCGGACGCCACCAGGGCGTGACGGGCGAGGTATCGGTGTGTATTTATATAAGGAGACCTGGAACCAATGGGTGGTGTTCTATTTTAAGCCACACTCTACCTAGCATTTCCTGTCTGGGTTCAGACCTATAAGTATTGTAGGGATTTGTAGGGTAGACTATTATTGGACACCCAGACAGGATGATCCTGGCATGTGTTGTGAGTTTTTTCTATGTTTATTCCTCATTCCATGGCCACATAGAAAAACCGCTGTTCGAGCATCGCCGTTGCCAGCGCGGCGGCTAGTGCTGAGAGGCTTCATCATGTTCCAAAGGTTGGTGGTCAAAACACGTGAAGATGTCCTTTTCTTTGAGGAAATGTGTTGGGATTGCACGTTTTACAAATATATGTTTATTATGTACATGTTATCTATGGCGCGAATCCCGGAAACCTCCGACTGTTGTTCACTTAGCTCCTTCAGGAGATTTCCCCGGAATGTGAATGGTCTTGATCAATCCATCTATACCCATCTCAAGTGCTCTTCACACCTGCTGAGTTCCCCATGGAAGACCCAGTTCCTCTCCTGCGACTGCACCATGTTGTACCCCAAAACAGTCCGTGTGGATCGAGTCTGACAGAACAACGTCCTACATTACCATACCACCGGTGCAGTACAAGCTGCTGGTGTCCAAGTGTCAAAGGGCCATCGGGACATCTCAGCTTTGCCAATCAATTCATCAGATCTTCACATTCCTGAAAAGCCACCGTTACTGATTGGTCTTCAGATTGGTCTTCCGAAACCGGGGTGCCATCAGATGGTGATGGCCTTATGCCATCCACACCTCACCATGATTTCAGGGAGTGTAACTCCGTAAGTCCCGCGCCTTCGTCGTCGGCACTGCAATAAGTTCATCGCACAAAAACCGAAACAGAGCTGGAACATCCGTGTTCACCTTGTGATCGAACTGGCACGACCCTCATGTCTGGCAGCACCAGGTGCAAGTTGGCAGCGTTGGGGCTCCACGGCGAAGTCCAGGAGGACTCAGATCACGATGAGGCACCAGCGCCTCCTCGGCGCAGCAAGGTGCCGAGGCGCGGCACGTGAGTCCGTGGCTCCAACTCAGATGGCTCTTTCGGGGTGTGAGTTCCTTGTGCTGTAGAATCGATGGACTGATGGTTTTGTGACTTTTGTGTGTTTCTTCTGAGTCATTTGGAGAGAGAGAGAGATATATATATATATATATAGAGATGTGTGTGTGTGTGCGCGTTAGGATGCTTTTATTCGACCTGGTGTGTGCTTGTTGATGGTTAAGATTGCGCGTCTTTGAGGCGATGCTTCCGCAGCGTTTCACTCAACAGAAAAAGCTCCACCAGAATTTGGTGGAAGACCCTTGACGAAGCCTCAGAGTAGACTCCATGACTCAACGCGTTGTACTCGTTGCGGTTCTCGCAGTCCTGGCTTTTCCAGTGGCGTCCAGGGAGATCTCTCAACCCCTGGGCCGGCCAGGCATTTGCGGCACGGTGAGTTGCCAGAAGATGGACACGAAATACAGAGAGAGAGAGAGATAGACACTGATGGAATGGAGAGCGATCCTTGGGGCTGCTTCAGAGGAGGTGTTTTTTTCCCCACCCGCCAGGAGAAGGTTGGACTTGATCAGACCTGTCCTTTCCTCTTCCGACCTGTCCTCCTTTCCTCGTAGCAGAGAGCAGTGGGCACCACGGACCTGAACCAGATAGAAGGATATAGAAAGAAAGTCAGCAACTTTGCCACATAGAATCTAGAACGCCTGAATATATGCCCGATAGAACACCAAGCCAAGAGTTTATGCCATATATACTGCCAGAATTTATGCCAGAATAAATTAGAATAAATGTCAAAAGAATGTCAGTCAGGAAATATGCCAGTCAAAGTCAGAAAGCATGCCAGAATAACTTGAACATACGCCAGATAGAATGCAAGAATATGCCAGGTAAAAAAAATGCCAACATGTTTTTGTCCCTTAGAATGCCAGATAGAGTGCAGCAATATATACCACATAGACATAGTTTGCAAACATTTTTGGAAGTATATATGCTAGATAGACGCTTTCTCAGTGATGTTGAAGCAATATAGCCATCGGTTATCAGCAGAGTGCAATGCCATGGTGGGGACCACTCGACGTAAAATCATTTGGCCAAGATGCCTTGTATTTTTTCGAGTCTATATAGGAATAATCTTTTCATGTACCTTGAACCTTGCGCGTGTCTCAGGAAAACGGGAAGTGCTTGCCGACGGATGGAAGATCCATGTCAAAGAGTACGTCAAGAACTTGCAGCCCCTTTGGTTCATGCTCTTTGCTGGGCAGATCAAGGTCTTGCTGACCTTCTTAGTCTTCGGCTTCGAGATGAAGGTTTGCGAAGTCGGCCCCTCGGCCAGCTCATCCTGCAGTGGTCTCCAGGAATTTGCACCTTATGCCTATGCTCTTCAATGGATTTTTTCCCCAAACAGTGTCGACACGCTTAGGGGTTCTTACGGACCCTATATGCTCTTCAATGGACTTTTTAGGGGGTCTCTTGCGCTGAAGACCGCCTGAGGACCTTGGGAAGATCACCTCCTTTCAGCCTCAAGATGCCACCGGCTCGGTGGTTCAGCCAAACCCACGAGCCAGTGGCAGTGTCCGCCCAGCTGACCTGGGCCTACATCACTACATGGCGTTGATGGAAGCCTACAATTGTTTGCGGATGCCGGTGCTATTTATGTTTGTGGTGGCTGCGTATCCATCCATTCTGTTGTTCCTCATGGATGGCATGATCAAGGATCACAAGGATCTTGAAGAAGTATGTAATTTGATAATACCCTCGTCGGATATACTTTGGAAATTCCTCTATGTGTACTTTCTTATCATTCTTGCACAATACAGTGCACATTTGCCTCCCGTGCTATTTTGTTGGTGCGTGAAGGGTGGATCTAAGTGTGCAGGCATCGCTTTGGCAAAGTACGGAGAAATCTTCCGCCCAGATTGCAAGTCTTTCCTCACACGTGAGAGTGAGGAAGCCGGCACGGCCAGCAAAAGTGACATGGATGCCCGCCATCTAGTTGCATGTTGGGGTGAATGGCCCTGCACTCCTTTCTCGCCCCCAGGCAACACTGGGACAGATCAACATTTGAAGGCCGTGCAGGCGATGGAGAGAGAGAGAGAGAGAGACAGAGAGCAAGCAAGGCACTCTTGCTGCAAATGCTCATCATCCACGAGGCAGGCAAGAATGCTGGTGGGATCCTGATCCTTGGCCAGATGGCGGCTCTGATGACGCTGCGCCTGTGGCAGCTTGACCACCTTGCCACGCTCAAGGAGGTAGTCTACGTTTATGCGCAGCTATGGGATGACAGGAAGTTCGAGATGTACTGGGCAGCATTGTGGAAAGATGCATCTTCCCTCTTGGGACTCTTGAAATCCGTTTCACAATTCCTATGGCAAATCTAGGTGCACGATAGACCGGTCTTGTGGTAGGTATGTGTCCCTCGGAATGGGATGTCGTTGTGGGCCACCCAGACGTTTCTCTCCATGCAAACCCCGTAACAGTTTAACACTTCTGTCTACTTCCCATATGTTCCCATGGCATTTCATAGTGACATAGTGATTGGGTTATAAATCGGTGGTATTAAATTCACATGTTCACATTCATTATCGACTACTGTAAATCCACATAAATTCAGTGGATATCTTGCATCCCCGCATCCGTTTCACTGATTTCACCCACAGAGCGAGGTCTAAGGACCTCTCGCTCTTGCTGCGTTAGATGAACCCGTTGGCGATCCGAGTTCGGATGTCGAGTCACCTTGCTGCTGGACATGCGAGTGTAGGCCGGCTTGAGAAAGGTGGATCTTGCCGGAGTGTCGACGGCGTCCGTCGATCACTCCGAGTTGTTCGCCGCAGAGGAAAAAAGAGTCCAGAGATGTGACCTCTATTGGACGTCTCCGTCAGTCAGTGGCTGAGCAGCGGTCTTTTCTTCACCTGACCGATGGACGCTTTCACCGGTGCTCCACGGTCGCAGCTGCGAAGCGGTGCTGTTCGCCAGGTCGCCTCGGGGCGCCCCCTCACCAAGTCGAGGCGGGATCGAGCGCGCTGGACTCCGACAGGTGACTGAAAGGAGTCCAAGATGGAGAGTGAATGAAGAACCAAATGAAGAGGGTATTGAGGGTCTCACCTGAAAGAAGGTGTTGTAGTATGTTGTAGTCTATCCTGTGAATTCTGAATCCAGACATGCGGCTCCTCTATGATTATTTCTTTCTTCAAACTGAGTCGCATGTGTGTTCATGTGTGTTCCACTTTGGTGAAGGTATGCCTTGTTGGTTCCTCAGCAGTTGGAGAGGATCAACTTCAAAAAATATGGTCATGTGCGCTGATCCGAACAGTTTTTGTCGGAGGGATGCTGGGAGTTTGTTTTGAAAGGGGCAAGCGGCCTAATCAAGATTCCTTGCAACATTTGGCCTATGGGTCTACCTATAGGGTGTTTTCAAGGTCAGGCTTTATTGGAGTGTGTTCTTCAGAGTTGGGTGTATTCAGTGTATTCTGTTTCCGCAGCTTTACAAGAAAGGGGCACCCTGTAGAAGCCAAAAGAGCTTCTGCAGGGCCAAAGAAAATTCCTCTCAAACCAGTGGTCCACTGTTGAGGACCCCACTCGTTCGCCAGGTCCCAACGTTGGTTCCTCCCCAGAGAAGGCCAACGACGAGGTGCCGAAAGCCAACTGCTTGTGAGAGAGGAATTTGAAAAATAAACAATTGGATAGTTACGTTACATCGTTGGACTCAGTGGCCTTTGCTGTCTTTCACGTATTGCAACCACTTGGAGGTGTCCTGTTTCATGGTACTTGCTGCTTGCATTGTGCTGGTTCGGTGCTGGACGGACGCGGGCGTTGTCAGGACCTCGAGTGGGAGGAGACACGGAAGCGGCAGGAGGAGGAGAAGCGGCGGATTGAGGCGCAGAAGCGGAAGCTCAAGGAAGAGGAGGAGAAGAGAAAGGCCGGATGGGATTGTCTTATCCATGTTCTGCTTGGTCCCATGTGGGATGGGCTTAATGGATGAACATAGAAGAAGGATGGAATTTGAATAGGATAATCCTACGCGGAATGCGATGTCTTGCTGTTTTGCAGAAGGTGATTTCCTTAGCTGGGCCTATTTAATGTATTTAATCTGTGGATGGTGGGATGGTCACACGGAGCTTTGGGATTTAGAGCCAGTGCTGTTGATTTGGGGATCCTCTTGGGCCCCGAAATGGAGCATGTTGCGAAAGAAATATGAAGAAATGGACCCAGACACGACTAATGTGACTGCCATGGGACTGCCGCCCCAGAAAGACCCCCAGTTAACCACCTTAACTGATCGGCAGTCCTATGGCAGTCCCATGGAGTGTCTGGATAGTCTGGCAGTCTGGCAGTCGCCAAAGTTTCGGGACTAAAGACTCGATCGATAACATGCCACCGCTGCATACCGCCGCTGAAGCTGATACACCAGATCTTTTTGAGCAAACCATTTTAAGAAGACCGAAGACCTAGCCGGCAGCTAGCCAGCTCCTCATGCGCTGGAAGTGAGTGCCAAGAGCCATGTTGTCCACTGCATGTTCTTTTTGTCAGATCTCCTTTTGGTGTGGGGCGGTTTCCAGGATCGAGTGGTCGAGTTTTTTTTTGCGCGGTGCTTGGAAGATGGGCTATGTCTAAGCAGCGCATTGCGAATCATTGGCCTTCACCGTTCGATACAAGCCCAACCCAACGCAAGCTCCCGCAAACACATCTTTTGTTTGCAACAATGCAGAGCAAATCCCCAGCCAACTCACAGCTTTTGCTTCCAATTCAATGGTTCCAACCCTCGCATCCTGTGGTCCGATTTCAGACCAAGTTGGGTGCAGCCTTCCAATTTGAGCCGGAGGAAGAGGCGCGGCTGGCGCGACGACGCACAGACCGGCGGTGGAGTGGAGAACGGCGGTGGAGTGGAGGGCTCAAGGAAGAACATGCATTCCCTTGACGAACACATCACATGGTTACATGGAGTTCACCACCTGTTTGTAGCGCATTTCATGATCTTCCCTGGCGCCAATGTCCACTTCCACGTTAGTGAGTGGGAGTGTAATTAGCTTGGTTTTATGGATGTGGCTCAACAGAACTGCGTGGGCAGTAGAACCCAATGATGTTTTTCTTCACACGATGAAAGAGGACACACTTCTCTATCCTATTTGCCAGGCAAACTGCAACTAGCACCTCCCAGCTTGCTATGAGTCCACACCAGGAGCCTTAATTTAGCAGAAGTTGGGATGGAGGATGTCACAATGTTTCTCGCCACGAGCCCTGCAACTGCAGAGGCTGCAAGTGCCAAGAAGCAACTGGCGAACAAGCTGGTGTCGCGGAAGGTGGGTCAAAAGCAGATCCGTTGCGCGCTGCGCGCGCTGCGGACGACGCCGAACGATTTGGTTTACTCGTGGTGTTCGCGGATCTGTGGGCAGGTCGCCCCATTTTTCCGAGGATTCCTGCAGTCAGGTCCCTGGTACTGTAACGAATTGTAACGACGTACCACATGAAAGCTGTTGAAATGGAGTCTTTCGAGCCAAGAGTTCTGAGGGAATCTGAGGGGGTAATCAACCTACATCATAATGAATCATCTATAGTATGTTCTGGCACTGCCAGAGCATCAGAGCCATCAGTTGATCCCAAGTTTAAGATGGCTTTGTCAGCTGAAACGCCCCGGAAGAATCCATGGAAGTGGAGTGAAAGCCACCACCGATCCATGGTATTTGCAGGTCATGGTCACCGGAACTCGAGGCCATGCACTCTCCACGGAACCATGATGATGTCAGGGAGGGTACAGTGTACTTCTTTCTCTCTCTCTCTCTCTCTCTACCTTTCCTTTTTGCTGCTCATCCCAAGCATCCTGTAAAGAGTACTAAAACACCCTCGTCCTTCAAGATACCTGCACGGTGTGCTGCCCTCTCTCATTGTGCACACCAATGAATCAGGCCCCCTCACATGGCCCAAGCCTTGCTCCTTTGAGTTCAAACGCCAGGACTACTAGGCAGCCAACTCCTGGTCTACTGCAGGGAACGTCCCCTTTTCCAGGTTGGTCTAGCTCCAAAGCTCAACACAAAAGAAAGCACCCCTAAAGACATGACATGGAAACAACCGCAAAAGCATAAAACATGTACAACACCATGTCTAAGGCATCAAACAAAGTCATAAATGGAAGGGAGTTTCCCCCCTTGAAGGGTCTGACTGCGCCCTTCCTTCCAGCTCTCTCCCGCGACTGAAGTCGACCTACGCAAGTCGCCAGGAGGAGCTGCCGTCCCTGGCCTTGGCGCGGGCTTCGCCCGGGCTGCGCGACGCCGATCCGCGCTTCGTCGAGGCAATGGGCGGCGACAAGCTCCTCCAAGAGGCCTGGGTGGGGCTGGGGCGCTGCTGCTTGGCATGCGGTGGGGTGGAGGTGGGGCGCTGCTTTGCCGGCAAAACCGGTGTCAGTTTGGAGGGTCCAAGAACGTGGAATTGATGGCAATCCAAGTGTTCGGTGTTGCTTTTTTCGTGGCTTGCTCTTTCCAGAGCAACTTCTTTGGGCTCCGCATGCTTGCCAACTAACAGGATCTTGCACACTACTAAAGGAACAGCACACCTCCATCGATCCTTGGATCCTTGGCATGCCTTTCCTCTCTTTTCTTCCAGCGCCGATTTTTGAAGCACCTCATTATAACATGACCCAAACACTCCATGTTTGGCATGACCCCCCTGGCACCCCAACTAATGTAGGTCAATATGCCAGTCCCAGAAAGGTCGTGTCTGTGTGATGTATCGAATACTTCCCCCCCCCAGGCGCACAAGATCCTCCGCCACGCCGCCGGCAGCGGCCGCATCGACGCCCGCGGATCGTCCGCCGCCTCGCGCTCGCGGAGCCGCAAGCGGCGGCGGAGCCGGGAGCGGCGGCGGAGCCGGGAACGATCGCCGCAGAGCGGTGGGACGTGGGGAGTGGAGTGGAGTGGGATGGAATGGATGGGACGTCCGGGAGTGGAGGTGTTTGTAGGTTGTAGAGATTTGTGCAATACATAAAACTATGCATATATAAATATTATAGATAAATACATACTACTGTATAGGAAATCATAGAATATTGTAAAAATATAATCTATGTGTCATGGCATTTCAAGAACCAGATGGGTCAGCAAATGATCACGCTTCCAGCCTGCTCAGCGGGTGAATCAATCACTTGGGGATTCCACACCGCCGAGTATTGCTTTTAGTCTTAAGATGTCTTAAGACATCCACATGGCTGATAATGTAGACTCTTGATTAATAGTCCCCTCATGTGAGTTGAAAGACCTCTTCAGCTGAGGTGGTTTATTAATCAAGAGTCTACATTAGTGGGAAGAAGGCCTAGCCCACCGACTTGCTTGGTTGCAGTCCTTATTTAGCTTCCGGAGCACCAGTGCTGTAGACAGATCTGGACCCAGTGCAACCCTACTGGCCGAAAGTGAACTAGGTGGCTCAGGATGACTGGAGCTGGAATTAATCCTACAACAATCTTGAGGTTTTCACACCATTTACTGTAAGTGTGTTGTTTGTGTTCTTCCATGCAGAGGTGTTTCGTGAGTTTGGCCCTGAACCACTGAACCACTGAAATGGTGGTCATCGTCACGTGCACTGGAAGTGGGAAAGTGGCCACCCCACAATGCAATTCAAAATCATCACATTGCAGTTCACCAGAGTTTCTTCAGATATAAGTTCAGATTTTCTTGCCTGGTGAAGAAAACTATATTGCTTTCGGGCTTTCGGATATAAGAGCTCCTTCCAGTGTTTCTTCAGTTTCCTCCCAAGCCGTGCGCCTGCCACCCGCATCGCCTCGTCCGTAGGCGGCCCCAACGTCCGCAGCAGCGGCAGCTACCGCTCGCCCACGCCCGATGGCCGCGCGCGGGGCCAGGCCCGGGCGGCGCGCAAGGCGAAGATGACGCTCGTCACGGTCGGGGGACCGGTCGGGGACCGGTCGGAGACGGGAGCGTCTCACTCCACCTGTGGATGGGGCGAAGAAGGAAAGGGGATCGGATGGTTTTACTGAGGATTTGAGACGACCAAGTCAGGTCAAGCAGCTGAAGCATTCTTTTTTAATGGTTTGATTAGAAGGCCATAGGATGTGGTTTTTCAGACGATGAACGAGGATAGCCGGATTGAAACTGAGGATGCATCCATATGTTGGAGAGCGTTTAGCTTGTACTTTTTGCTGAGGGGTCCCAGCCGTTTAGCAGGCGTTTTGATGCTGTTGCCACGCAAAGCACCAGAGTTGTGGACGTCCCCACAGCGGGAAAGTCTTGGCCCTATTGGGCAAACAAACAAAAAACTGTATGTCGTCTGGCCTGTTGTGTTGTGAACTTGAATCGTTTCTGTTGCTTTGTGGCAGTTTAGGGGCCCTGAATGATAAAGTGTTCACCCAAAACGTTTGAACCTTCTTTCACTTCTTGAAGTCATCAAGTCAACGTTCACTTGGGGTGGGAGCTAACTCTGATGGACCCAGGATTGCCTCGCTCATGGGCATCAAACGGTGATGGGCGCTTGGTAGAAAAGGTGCGTAAGAGCAACGTGCGCCGTGGTCTTAAAAGGGTTGCGTTTGTGCAAACCAACCAGAGTGAAGTGAGAATGTGTAAGCTTTGAAGAGGTTAGTGCCAGAAATAGGCTTGGACGGTGGAGTTCTAGCTTGCCCTGCTGAAGTTCCTTTGCGGGGTAGGGTTCCATAAATGGGCTGGATGTTGAATAAGTTGTGAGTAGTGTTGTGAGTACATCATAGTAAATCCATTGATTAAATCAAACTTCCTACGCTGGGTCTTGATCCTCTGCCGGCCCATCTGCCTGCGCCCATCTGCCGGCGACGACGCATGGGCGCTCAAGATTCTGACGGTTGTTCTTAGAAGAAGACTTGAGACGGGGTGCTCAAGATTTTACAACTCATTACTGTATTAGGTATCAAAATGACCCAGGCCCTCAACTTGGAGCCTGCAATCATCACTCTCCTTTGGTAGAAACATGTTGTTATAGAAGAAATCCATCATTTGCCCGTGCCCTTTTCCTCCGGCAAGCAGGTCAATTGACATCGCCGAGAGTCGAGGAACGGATCGAAAGGCCTCGGTTCGATGGACCACCGTAAGTTAGGGGCGTAAGGGGATACCCCGGGCGGCTTCCTCGAGTGGGGCGTTGGCAGCCCAGCGTTTCCCAAACCATCCAACGCTTAGAGATGCTTAGAGAAGATATGCATGAGAAGACCAAGCCGGCAACCACACTCTGTGTGTTGGAATGTCCGCCCCAGACCGATGACCCGACAGTCTCAACCAATTTCCCACCAAGAGTCCTTGGTCCGTTAGCTCACCGCGGCGGCTGGCACACCGCACCAATGCTTTTGCCACGGCCACCCAAGACCCCAAGCCCATGGATTGTAGACTCTTGATGCGGAGGGTTTACGTCTCAAGAGTCTACATGGTCACCCTTAGGTGGGAGTCAGGTGGCCACATCCCCATCCCGCGGACGGGAGACGGGAATCGACGTGATTGGAGACGTGTCATACTTCCTTAGGCTTGGCTGTTGCTATGCTAATACAAGAGTGGGTTTTCACCATACCCATACAATACCCTAATTTTAATAACTATATAACTTATAACTTATAAGGGTTCCACTGCTCTATCTATTGAGCAGAACGGTATGCTTGAAGCCGGGTTTTGAGGCCATTGGCTCAAAGATAAGATGAAGTACAAAACCATCAGAAGGACACTGGGAGCTTTTTGAGGGGCCTTCCGCAACCATGGACTTCGAAGTGTTTTGACACGAGGTTCCAGATCAGGTTTTTTCTGACTTCTTTTTTTGTATGTACTGTAACACTTGTCAAGATAAGAAGTGGAGAGCGGATCCAGCTGTTGATGTTTTCCACACGTGGATGATGTTGTTGACGTTGTGCTCAAAAGGTTTGACACCAAAAAATGGAATGTTCACAACTGGACCTGAGACCAACTTCAAACATGGTTGAGAACTTAGCTGAGCACCAAAGATGGTGCGACCCTCGCGGCAAAGGTTTGGGTTCCTCCTTTGCTCATGCCGGAACTTGGGCAGATCCTTAGCTCGTTCCTTCCCAAGCAGATCCTGCTGATCTGGCTTTGGTCTCCTTTCAGCTCAGCACAAAACTTGGTGCACTACCTCTCCAGGCTGCCGGGGGCGCCGGCCGGCCGCGGAGCACCGCACGGCAGCGAGGGAGCGATACGCCCCCGGTGAGGTAGATCGGAAGAGGTCGGAATTGTATGCGAGACTTCGAAGTGTCGAAAGAGGTCGGAAGGAACCTATATGTTTCATTTGTCATGTTAAGTCCATCATAGTGTCCATCTAAGTGACAGTTCTGAAGCCCTAAAGATCCAGTCGTACCTTCGAAGGTTGGACCCTCCTGGCACCTACATAACCCGTGGTTTCTTCACACATCACCACACCTGAGAAGGTACGACTGGATCCCTAGGGAACAGTGGACCGTTGGAGCCCGTGGACCCGGAGGCCATGGTACCTGCGCCTGCGGGTGGTGCTGCCGGATGAGCAGATCCAACGACAAGTGGAGAAGGCAGAGCGCTTCTGGAAGGTTCCGATCTTCATCATTTGTCGCGATCGGCTGGTGTACCTGCAGCGCGGCGAACTGGGAGAGAACTGGGAATGTGTACCTATTGATAGGTAGAAGCATCGTGCGTTCGAACACAGACACCTACCACTCACAGACAACGGGAACATCCTCAGGTAGACTGGTGGCGTTGGGATATTGAAGGTTTACATTGGAGTTTTTAAACCCAAATGAGAGGATTTTGGATTTTCGGGTTTTCTGCATCCACCATCCATCAACCAATCACTTGCGAAATATCGCCGGCTTGGCCTTCTACATGCTGATGGCAGGAAGGAATGCTGCCCTGCGGATATGGCGTAAAGTATAGTACTGTCAAGAGCGGCTCACTCCTTTAATAGCCATTCCGAAAGGAACAACAGGAATGAATGGGCTGGAACAGACTGGTCAACTAGAACGTCCTGTCCAGTGTGTCCCTTAGGAAGGATGTATCACCCCTGTCTTTTTGCGAGCTAGCCATATCGCTGTCGACCAGCCGTCGACAGCATAGCTGTCTTTGCTTCGAACGGCGACTGAGGCAGATGTTGGTTTCGCAGCTGCACTCCTTAGGGTACTATCACCTCATTGCCTTGGACAACAATTCCACCTACAAGCCCTTGTTGAACTACTACCAGGCGCGGCTTCAGGGCGCCCGCGCCGGGCCTTAGAAACACGGTTATGCATTGGTGATGCATGGTGATGCAATATACAGTCAGATGAGTCAGCATTACTTTGCGCAGGAGAAGCTCCTTTGGGTGGTTCGACTTCCCTCGAACTTGGGCAACGAGATCAGTCACTTGCTGTGGAGAATGAGGTGGAATCAGAACACGCACATGAAGGAGTACATTGATCCTCGTCTTGAAAGAGGTGAATCGATGCTCTGAAACCGCCAAGCCGACAAGACTGAAGAACTCCTCCTTTGCAGTGACAGAATTCTTTTATAAATCTTTCGATTCGATCCGTTGTTTTCGCCTGGTTCGTCCTCAAAATTAAAATAAACAGCTAGCATCCAACTGGGCGTCAAACGCCTTACATCCACGTGGAGGGACTTTGCTGCCGCATGGATCCAGCACGCATCAAAAGCATGCATCTCACACCAGGACCCTCCAGGCTGTTTGGAGACCAACTCCCACAGGTGGTGAACCTATTTGGGCACTTGCCACCAGGAAACACCTATGAAGACAGGTCCAGGCACTGACTGGTCATCCTTTGATTCTCACTTCTCACCTTTTTGTCACCATGCGTCCCTCGATGTTCGGCGCTCCAACGTCGCCAGGACCGGTTCGGTGGTCGCTACGTGTTGGCCGACCCGGACACCGTCTTCGACGATGGCGTGCCGGCCAACTGGCTTCAGCATTTCTGGGAGATCATGGACCGACACCAGGCCAATAAGGCGCGTTTTTTTTTGTTTTTTGTGCGTAGTGTAGGTGGTGCAGGTAGGGAGGGAGGGAGGGAGGGAGGCCTTTTTTGATACTGTTTGTTATCTTGGCATGTCGCAGGGAGGCAGAAGAAGAGTGATTGGTAGGATTGTGCTTGTTGGTTCCCTTTTCCATTTCTGATTTGGAGTTCCGTTTCTTTTGGTTTGGAGCTTGCAGCATGGGCCTTGCATGGGACTGATTTGCGAATTTGTGTCGTGTGTGTGTGTGTATTTTCACCGGTCAGCGTTGGTTCCACTGAAGAAGTGTAGAGATCCACTGACGAAAGGCCGGACGGCACGGCCAGGTTGGCGCGGCCTTGAGGTTGGATGATCTACCAGAGAATTATGCTGCGCGGAAACAGGTTTGGCAACATGAGCCTTGGGATGTTTTCGTTGGAACTGTTGCAGATGTTTTTGTGTAAATGACGTTCTTTGTTTACGTTTCCTAGTTTCTCATCTTTGTCGCAGAGTGTCTATGTCCTGGAACCGGGCATGGAGGGTGGGGTCCTGTGCATGATCGAAAAACCGCAGGTGAAAATGAATCGATCTCAGCGAGTGTTCATCGAAGTCCCTTCTATAGATCTACAAAAATGAGCGATGGAGAGAGAGAGAGAGAGAGAGAAGAAAAAATAAGAGAACACAAACATGAAAGACAGAAAAACAGAAAAGAAAACAACATCGACTAAAAGCAGAAAACAACATTGAACCACAAACTAAGACCATAACAAGGACCAAGGACGTGATTGCCCCACAAATGTGCGCACAAAGGGATCGACATGTGCTCAAACGCTCGCTCCGTCTTGGCTCCACCGCCCGAGGAGTGCGACTTTTGGCGGGAAGATCGATTGGCTCCAGGAGACCGATCCGGTCGACGCTCGCTGAAGCGCCGAGGGAGAGACTTGACTTGAAGGGAGTCTTGAGACTGAAGCCCTGTCTTGGATATGATGCTACATGGTAACGTTTTATGATTATATACTATATCTACAAGTGATACTACATGGGTAAAAGTACAATTATTTGTGATACTATATTATGAGTATTATACTGTAAGAGGATGTTTTATAGACGGACTATCAGCAAGAAGGACCAGGGAACCTGGGGGGACCTGTCAACTGAGGTACGAATGTTTGGTGTTAAATGAATCATACGGCCGCATGTTCTCGGATCTTCTGGGTAGATTTCAACATGCGTGTGCTGAACGGAGCACGTGCCAATCCGAACTATGTTTGCACATGTGTTCCTCCCAGATGCAATGCCTCCCAAACCCATTTGACAAATCCCACAGAACCGATGATTTCACTCTTTCAGCTTTTGACCCTTTGCTTTCTCGCGCGAGACCACTGAATGCAAGTTGACTTGCCATGAAATAGGTAGGCTCTAGCCGTGCGAAGCAGCTTCCGGTGAAATGAAGCATGATGCAACATGTCAACTCCAAAGGAGCCCCCCGCACATTCTCAAAGCTTTGAACAAATTATATCACCTTGATTCACCTTGAAGACATATAGAAGTAACACTGTGCCATCCCCAAAACATCGCCGTAAAACATGTTCCAGAAGCTTGGCGGCCTCACTGCGCCGCCCAAAAGGTCTGCCGGCAGCTTCTTCTTAGCGCTCCCAGCCACAAAGCGAGCGCTCTTCTCTCCCCGTCGGCAGGAGAGAAACATGTCTTTTGGGCGCCCATCGACACCACCATGGCACTCACCAAGATCTCCAAGAGCCGCCTCGCCATGCTCAAGCCCTCCGCCAACGTGCGTGTGGCCGGACCCTATACGGTGCCGTGGCGGGCGACCACACCCGGGGGAACCGGGTTACGCGTGCGAAACGGCCCGTGGCCCAGTTCGGCGGGTCCGGCAATGGGCCCAGAGCAAATGGTGTTAAGATATGGATAAAAGCATGGTATTATCGCTGACTGTGAAACTGCCATGGTGGGTCTTGCTGTGTTTTTTGCGGAATGCGTTTGGGTGGTTGGTATTGTGGCCGGTATGATGTGTATCTTCTTATCTTAATTGGGGTCCTCAAATATGCCCGTCGTTCACAAGGCCGGGCCGAACCTGCACCACTTCAGGTTCGGCACCTCCCCTGGTACGAGAACAGCAAGTGGCTCCTGCCGGATGTTGAGTATGCTCGGAAACACCGCGGGAAGGGCCACACCTTTGGCTGGTGGTCACACGCCGAGGGCTACGCTCGCAGAGGCAAGCAGATCATTGACTCAGAGCCTCCGCCGGTGATGGTGGAAAGGACGATGAGTTGACCAACATGTCAAAAAATTCACCCTATAATGTAGAATGTAGACGCTTGATTAGTAAACCCTCCCCATTTGGATAATAAGCCTCATTATTTGCGATGCACAAAAAATCGCGCAAGACAAAACCTCGATGCAAAATGATCTCCCACACCAGTACCCTCCAAGGGGTGCCCATGGAAGCCTAGGCCGGTAGGGTGGGGTAGTCCAGCCAGGACACCCCGACAGGAGGGTCCAGGTATAGAACCTGGCGACTTTGGTGTCCCCAAAGTCCGTGCAAAAGCCCAGCGCTGCGCGCGCTGCGCATCGTCCCAACCCCTTCCAGATCGATCCAGATTCGGTCTGAAGGCAGACGTGCCAGACCTCTCCATTTGGCAGCCAGACCTCTCAACCGCGCTTAGGAGAGCCAATCTGGTCAGTTCAAACGTGCCAGCAACCAGACTTTCGCCTTTCCACCGCGCGTGAAGTACTTGGGCTTTTGCCGACGCTTCTCCGCGGAGCAGCTGGACGAGCGAAGCGGGGGGGGGAACCCCCCACGCGCGCCCTGGGATGAGTTTGGTTTTTTTCAGTGGTGGATGTGGAACGGCAGTGTTCGATACCGGGAGGAGCAGGCTTTTTGTCGAGTGACTGTTCAAGTTCTTAAGAAAAGTCTCATTACATTTGATTTTGTTCGGGTAGGGGTGCGCACTATGCGTCCGGGTCAAATTGAATCATCACCTTTTGATCCAGGGGCCCCAATTCAACACATGTTCTCACTATAGGACCCTTAGGACCCCCCTCGAAGTTGAGGCTCATCCTAAAGGACGATCTCCCTAGCTACCAACCACCCAGGCCGCGGTCAATGGCTTCCGTCCAAACGGCTCCCGGTTTTCTGATCCTCCCCATCCACTCACTCACCCAGGCCCATCAACGTCCGCCCAGCGCAGTGTCACTACTCCTACCTCCCCGAGCGCGAGAGCCACCTCGCGCGGGGTCCGGCGAACGTGGCCGTGCGCTGGGCGCGAGCCGCCGCGGGTCCGGAGGAGGACTTCTGGAGGCGTCGAAGACGCATGAGACGAACCGCTCTATTTGTTTGGAGTTGGAGGCCATCGCTAGCAGGTTGGAGGCTATCGCTATAGTAGGTTGGAAGCCATCGCTAGTAGGGGGGAAACACCCTCAAAAAATGAGGGTGTGGGGTCAAAGGAAGGTAAAGAAGCAGGTGTTTCAAAATGCGTGACGTTTGGGGCATTGAGCAACTTGGTTTAGACTGCAGATGACCTTGCAGCTTGTTGAGGACCCGACATGGTTGAGCCACAGTGTTTGTTGTCCTTCCCCTTCCTGGCTGAGACTTTAAAACAATTGCATGACGAGGTCTCATGCATTTGTGGAGTTGCACCCTGAACATTTGGCTGGTCACCCATGGTTGATCAATGCAGAAGCTTGCTTTGGGAGTCCAAGTCAGGATGCCAGGGTGCGACGCGAGGATGGCAGAATTCTCAGCTGCCATGGCTCTCAGCTGCAGTTCCCCAGCCCAACATGTTTGATCTCCGCACTCAGGACCCGCTTCGCCCACGACTCAGCTGCCATCTACACAGCCGTGGCCTCACTGCTTGCCGCCAAACCAGCGGTGGTGCTGGACGTGGGCGCCGGAGAGGGCGCCAGCGCCTTATGGCTCGCTCGAGCGCTCGGTGGTGGTCTTCCCCACGTGCGGGTGGTGGCATTGGAGAGCGAGCCAGTGGTCTTTGAACGGTGGCATGCCGAAACCGTCCGACGTTGAACAGCGTTTTCGGAGGAGGACGAGAGCTCCTCCTCAACCGAACGTTGAACAGTTTGCTATCATGCTGTTTGCTTGTTTGCTTGCCCAAATCCCATAAAAGTTCAAAACCAATTCCCCAAGGGTAGCGTAGGCGAAACACACAACATTGAAACGAAACCTCACGTTCGTAGGTTTCTCCATAGGCAAAGGTGTATGTGTGTCGTAGGCTCACACTGTGGAAACGTAGGCGGATCGTAGACTTTGCCGTAGGCATCCTTCAATGATAATAGTGTCTATATTCAAAAAAACTTGCTCACATAGTGATGGAGGATTCTTGGCAAGATATTTGCATGAAGCCAGCAACGGCAGCATGCAGCAGCTTTGAAGAAGCACCACGCTCGTTATTGATATCGTTTGTTCAGCTCCATCCCACCAAACCCCATACAGGGTGTTACAGCTTACCAACCCATGTGTTCTGAACCCTTGGTTTCATATCACACCATCTATTACAACCCCCCCATGGCCACTGGTTCGCATTCCCATCATTCCCCCCCGCACCACGCTCCGCGGTAACGCACCGCCCTCCCGGAGGCTTTGTCGCAACATCGCGGCGAATGGCCCCGACGTTCACGTGGTCGCGCTCCGGGCAGCCCTGGGAGACGATGAGCACGCGCCGGCCGCCGCGGTGCGACACGGGCAAAGGGGAGGAGAGGTGGTGTCGATCTCCAGCTTACGAATGCAAGCGATTGAGTTGGAAGAGGCGCGGGGCAGGTGGAAGATGGTGGCACTTGGATGGATCTGGAAGAGGTTGATCTTGCCTGGTGGGTGACAGTTCCAAATTTTGGGGAAGAGCTTGGGAAGCTGATCTTCGACAGCTTTGATCAGGGGTGTGTGTGTGTGTGTCACCTCCTGTTCAAAAGGAGCTCCACATCGTCTAAGTAAAACACACTGTGAATCATTCCACCCTTAAATAATTCAAACCAAGCTGGTACAGACTCGCAGGGGGCAGAGGGATCTCCAATGATCTCCAGTCGTGGCCTTTGCCAACGAAGCTCCACCCTGGATGATCAGGTAAACGTACCTGCAATGCCCGTGGGGCACCTGGGTGTATAATAAGTCGCAGCTGGTGACCATATCATTCTTTTTCGTCTGTGATGTTCCCAAGCTGTTACCCTCCTTTTCTCGTAAAGTGCTACTGCAGTAACGGGCAAATGCACTTGTTGCGAACCATATAAATTTGCGGACTCTTCGCCAAGTCAAGGTCTAATGTAATCAGCAACTAGCTCTCGGGAACTTCCAAACTGATAAAGCTCTTGGGCATGGATCTGAGTGTGTGCGCGTTTTTACTCCAAGTTGTGGGGTTGACAGGTACTGGGCATAGATCTTATAAGCAGTTTGCTACACGAAGCCTGCGGTTGAAAGGGTTCATCACAGATCCCTTTGAGAGCTTGAAATTCTGCTGGGAGCCCAGTCTGGTCAGGTCAGTCTGGTGAAGATCAACCTGGACCGTTCTCTTCCAACCTCATTGCCTCTGAGCTCCTCCTTGCTCCGCTTCCTGCAGCAAACTCGCTCACACCTCTGGCTCTCGCTCACGCCGCACGGCGGCGCGTTTCCCGCCGCGTTTCCGCGGGCGGCGGTTCGACAGCTGCTGCGGCGCTGTGCGCACCTCTATGGGGCGGGGCGCGGAACCTCCGTGGCGAACCTGACGGGGCGACGCTGGCGGCTTCCGGAAGACGGTGGACCGCTGTCGAACGTGCTGTGCACGCAAGCGCCATTGCCTGAAGCAGTGACTGCCTAGGGTACGGAAAAAAAGGACGATGAGCAAGTTGGTCGACCATACAAGAGGAGAAATGTCATCAATGGTGCGGTGGACCATCGCAGCGTTGACGCACGATCGGTCACACGCGTGATCGCTAAGGGTTCAACGAAGGGTCCAGAGCCTCTAACTCTCAAAATCACTGGCGCCGGCAGACATACATTTAGCGGAAATGTTTGAACCCCCCACCTTTGTGGAGAGAGACCCGGTGATTACTCGCGTCTTACTGAGATTATTTGGGAAGGGTTGGGCTTGTGATGCCATGAAAGACCTCCTGATCGGTTTTGGTGCTTTCTTTCCTCCGATGGAGTAGGTCGACTATGGATGAGACCCAAAAATATCGGGTCTCAGCAAAGGGCCACGTGGTTGAGAAGATCTCATTCTATCTATTGTTGGGCGAGGACGTGCTGGTAAGCTTCTTGTGTCCACCATGTCCCTGGGAATGACGTCGAAGCTGCTTCCCCAGAAGCATTGGCACCAAATGCCAAGCACCAGGAACAGTCGCTCAGTGGAGATCGTTTACCCAAAGGGCATACGTGTTCGCGCATGCCACGAACACGCTGTTGCCATGTGGATGTCGGCTCAGAGACCGTAGGCCGTCGCCGGGCGTGATGGAGGATTTCCAAAGTCTCGTCGCAGAGATATTGAAGGACGTAAACGTCGTCGATGAGGGGCGGTGTCGGCACGCAGGGACTCTAGTGACGTGGATGTCTCCGTAAACAGTGGTTTCGGAGCACTTAGATGGCACAAACTCCAAAGACGTCTTTGGCAGTAGATAGTTTAGATGCGGGTCCACATATATAAATATATAAACCACCGTTTGTGGATTGTAGCATCTACTTACTCTCAATCCACTATAACGATTGGCTTCTTGGATGCGATCTGTTTAAGATGCTGATCAGAAGGACTGGATCACTGAATTCTTCGAAGCACCAGAAACTTCTCCATTGCTCAGTTTTGCTGTCCGGGACAATGAGAACCCCCTGCCCTGCCCTCCCACGCGGCCTTCCACCGCTGGGTCGGCGCACGCACCGCGGTTCCACCGGTGAACGATCGATTTGCTCGATCCACACGACCATCAGTGGAAGCCCCCTCACACCTCGTAAAGGAAAGGCCTCCGAACTCGGGACATGCCATCCAGCCATGTACTGTTCAACCCGCTTTGAGTGGAAGGGACCGTACTTGATAACCTGGTTGGTTCAGTCACGCGACGCCTCCTAAGGGTCACTTAGGAACCTTCAAAAGGTCAAATTGAAGAAGCCGGGACATGTGTTTGTGGGCGAGCATCGGAGTAGCCCGCATCACGAGATGCAGGTGTCCAGGCTGTCCAGGCTGTCCAGGTGCAGTCTCCAAACTCTTCTTAGTCCTTGGTACCATGCAATGGCTTCCTAATGGCCATTCCAGAATGGATAGAAGATGATAGAAGTCTGCAATTATTATATATTATTACTGTATCACATAGGACTGTTGGGACTCCGACTGGGCTCAACTAGGACTACTCTATTGCAATGTATTGCAGAAAATGTTGCATGTGGAGAAAGGATCAAAAGTTGATACGATTTTCCTTTTGAAGTCTCCTCCAAAACTGGAACATGTGGCAGGATGCGGAAGGAAAGCTTCTAGCAGCCCATGAGAAGCAGGCACAGGATTGGTAAGGGGCAATCGTTCACGGAGCATGGTAACATGGTCGAACTATGTCGAACTCTGATCCATCAAATGCAAGCTCAATCACCTCAATAGAAGCAAAACATGTGCCAACAAAGCAGAAGAACACCGTTCTGAAAAAGCCCAAACCCTAAGAATCCGGGCCCGAACCAACAGATAGGGTTTTGATACCCCGGACCCCTGCAAAGAGGTCAGGTCCGACCCCTGCCATGGACAGGATTCTGAGCTTCAACACTCTTCGACTCGTTTCCTTCGAGCGTTTGGGGATTCCCACGGCTCAGCCGAGCCTCCCGAGCCGACCACGTCGAGTTCGACTTGCACGATCTCCGCTGTTTTTAGACGAAAAAGTGTTGTCATTGTCCTTAATTAACTGTTCTTGAGCGAAATTGCATGAAATTGCATCATGCGTGATTCCCAGTGATTCCCGGCGTTTCTTTCAGCAGCTTGGATGGTTGTAGCATGATTTGACTCAGTCTTGCACACACCTGCAAGATGATGTAATGAAGAACAAGGCACCTTGCAGTCAGACTGAGTCAGACCCAACGGTTGTCCTACTCCAACGTGCCGCGCGCCACCCCTTCTTCGGAGCAGAGACTCTCTGCTCGGGTCGACCCCTCTCGACCGAGGTGGAGAAGCTAAAGGCCTCGTGGACGGCAACGGAGAACCCGGAGAACCCCGAGGAGAACGTCGAGGACAACGAAGGCTCGGGTTGGAGCCCTGAGAGGTTCCGCGCGGGTGGGGGAACCCACGCGGAACCCCCGCGGGGGCAACCGGGAAATGGGCAGAGGACTGGATCGGTTTGACTGGAGGTTTGAGGTTGAGAACTCTCGGACTACAAATGGCCCGGAGTGAATGAAAGATGATCTGATGGATTTGGGGAGACGAATTGGCAGAGCAGGTAGAAGAATCAGAACTACAAAGATCTATACTGCAGTAAGACACTTCAGCTGGCACACGATGGCACAAAAAGTTACCTGTCATTGTTTCTGTGTCCACCCGACCGTATTGGCAGTAAACACGAGAGCGGTGCGATGATGTTTGTATAATCACGGGACCGGGTCACACAAATGTAGAGTTTGTTTGGGGGAGTGGTATTCCACAAACATGTAGATTCCACCACCCCATCCCTTTGAAGAGTTGAACCCGTTGATTTCGCATCCCACATGACAAGGATCCCCGACGCCACCGGAAGGCCGATAGCAACACCTCCCTCAAACGGAATAGCAGGCCGCTCAAAGAGCGGGCGGGCCGATAGCAGGCCTCCGAGCCTCGTGGCCACTCATGCTGTTTGAAACCACACGGCGATGCACGGCTGTGATTTGACTGGTCCTTCCTACCCTAAGAATCCGAACGGGCTGTCCCGGGGTCGGACCAAACCTCTTCGCAGGGGTCCGGGGCCGAACCAAACCCTATTTGTTGGTTCGGGCCCGGATTCTTAGGGTACTGTATGTTAGGGTATGTTGAATGCTCGAAGGCTCGTGCAGAAAAGCACCTCCAACCGTCTCACCACCGTACGGCAGCGAGCCGAGCCGCTGGTTGACCCCCGATCCTGAGAACCGACCGCTCAACCTGCGCATCCGACCGCTGAGGAGGTCCACATCGCATCCGTTTTGGACCTTGGAGATCCCCCAGACTCTATCCCAGACGCTCCATGGGACTGCCATATATGCCTACATTGGCCCCCGAAACCACCCCTGGCCTGATCGGCCGTCCTATGGCAGTCCCAGACAGGTCGCGTCTGGGGACCTAACAGGTCGATCTGACCTCCACTCTCATGGCCTCTCATGGCCGGCCTCTCCGCGCGCGTCCCTTTCAGGTCATGGCAGCGGGGATGAATCACCCAGCTCGCCAAGGCGGGACGGGTCCGACTGGGGCGTCTGGATTTTCTTCTAGGACCTGCTACAAAGGTGTGTAACATGATCTAGGACTGTCGGAGATACTAGGACCTGCCATATGTAGTATGTTCTTGATTTATTCTTGATCTTACTTGCTCGATGGTGCGGGAAGAGCAAAGAGGGAGAGAAACCACTGAGATCATCCAAGATAGATGAAGTTTGACCAACAGTGACTGGTGGTGTTTCTCGTCATGACCAACTTCTTTGGTCCTCCCATTGTCTACTTTTGCAACCCAGCCCCATTCAATCCATGTGACATATAAAAGCACCAAATGTAGGCCAGGCCACACTTGCGCCACCATGAATCCTTTGGGAGCCATTTGGGTGTTGCAAGTCGGGGTGCTCCTGTTTTGATGAGTCCCGTCGTGACAGAGTGGAGCCCCAAAACATGGGGGGGTTCCGACGGCGTGACTGAGGCATTTTCAGCTTTGGAGCACCTACACCAAAGCTCAGAACTTTGCGATGTGCCTGAACCTTTGATGCATCCAACCTTCTAGATCTCACATACCGCGGAGTGTGCGATTCGTGGAGACCAAGCGAGACCGTCCATGCGCCATCCGCCCATTTCCCAGGCTCCTCCCAGGTCAGCATGAAAGTGTGGTCTTGTTGACTTGATAGGTTCCCCTACACCTCCAGTCGTACCTCCAAACCGGTTCGGTGTGTGACTAGACCCTCGGTTCGGCAGCCGGGCCGAAACGGTCGTCCCAGCGAACCGAGTTTCGGTGGTACGGTACCGAACGGTGTACGGCCGGGTGGCCGGGGTTCAGAGGTTCGATGGACACCCCTCATATAACCTCTTTTCGGGGCTATCAAGTTCGACACCGTTAGACACCCCTTAAATAGGGTGTCTTGGTATATACGGATCCCGGATAAAGGAATTTAGATCAACTCCCATATAGTGCGTTTTTCTTGGTGGATCTTATGTATTAGACAGCGTTTCGTTTGGGATTCTTGGATGTCTTCGATCAAAACCAGTTGATCGCAAGCGGTGGGGCAACGGCCATGAGCGATTCATTCAAACAAGCACGGCCTGCTGGTTTGGGTGCCATGGTGTGTTTGTAGGAGTATACAGTAAACTCCTCTAGAGTTCCTACTAGTATGTTTGCGCCATATCGATGCGCAACAGAAGCAACATGGTGATTTGGCTTGTACCCACCTGCAGACCACATGGACCCTGAAAAACGACGATCCATGATGTCCATGTCAGTCGGCTCGGCGCGCGATTCACCGGGGGAGAAGAAAAGCCCAAAGCCCAGCGAGCCCTTCGTTTGCGGCCTCAGGAAGGAAGAGGAGGAGTCGGAAGACCTCATGACCACCCAAGGCGGGTTCTTTCTGTTTGGTTCCACCCGGTCGATACGCCAAATGGCACCGTTAGCCAGTTGAAGCATGGTGAGGCATGGTGAGGCACACCCTGTATAACCCCCCTGTGTGCACCCCTATATTCAATCAGCTTTATATTTACAGGGCCTTTCTTTCTGGGCCTTGGTGCGGCGCCTATCATCGCCGCACCTCTGGTGGCCATGTAAGGGGGGAACCCTTCGTCTCATCGACTCCTTCCGCGGATCCCATTCCTGCAAAAAAAAACGCTATAGCTACAGATTTGCACAATGACCAAAGTCATGACCAAATTGGAAAAAGAAATCCAGTTCGGGGTTTCGGGGGCCCCAGAAAGGTCGCGTCTGGGACTTGGAGTTACTGTATATCACCATCACCCCAACAAGCCCAGTGTAAGCCACATGTAGTCCCCCACCATCCCACCGTGGCACCGGCCGCAGATACGGACGAGTTTGCCAAGGACGGAAGTGGCACGGGCTCTCCGCCGTTTTGGGCGGCGGTTCCACCGCCGGAGCTCACCGGGGGGGAACTCACCACGGCTCCGAGTGCTTCAGAGGCCCTAAAGTCGTGCGCTTTTGGAGTCCGTTGTTGGGTCCGCTCTTGGGGGTCCTGAAAAAAGAGCCAATGCCATGAGCAATCCCGATCATGACGTTCATCCTCAACGGGTGTTGGTCGTAGAGAGTTTTAGAGTTGAGTCAATGTTGCTTGAGAGATCACTATAGGTGCTAGTCATGTTGAGATGTGTCGGCGTGCATGGTGTCGTTTTTCCCCATGCTGTCGTGAGACGTCATGCGGTGTGTCTCGTTTTCTGGACCTGTTTTTCAATAATACATGATCGGACAATTCTCCAATCATTGACACTTCCCCATCACTTCCCGAATTTTCGTCCATTTGCCATCAATCTGACTCTCTACCTGGCGAGCCATTTGAATCTCTACCTGGTCCGGTTCCGGAAAAAAAGGAACACCTGCCTGACACCCAAGCCCAGCTGCCAGCCATGTCTCTCCGCTTCGTATTTTGACTCGCAGGAGCTGGAGCAAGAGCGGCTCTTGTTGGCGAAGGCCAAAACGCCCTGGTGGGTGTTGAGCCCCAACAGCCCCAAGCGGATCTGTTGGGATCTCACCGGAGTTCCTCGGTTTCTCGCTCGCTCCGCTCGGCTGGCTTCGTTTCGGTCCGGGAGGAGTGGGACCTCATTGTTTGGGGTTCGGGGGGGGCTCGGGAGGTCGCTTGTTTGGGGGCGCGGGACGTCACTCCGGTGGGCAGTCAGTCTCTATAGTGAACTGGTTGGGTGGAGAGGGGAGGGACTGGTGGACATGGTGGACTGGATCCCAGATATTCACATTTAGACCTTCCCCTCGGGTGTCCCTAGACATACACTCTGGGGATCCACATACCTTCTCAGAAGGTAATTGGAAACTTTGAAGCCCACATAGATCATCTCCAATCACCTTCTCAAGAGGTCTGTGGATCCATATTGTATATCCGAGAGCGTGGAATCTGAAGAGTAGACACTCACTTTGATGAAACAACCACCGGAATCCAGCTCCGTTGCGGAATCCACGTCGTCCACGTCGCTTGGACGTGGCACCTGCCATGCGAACGGTGCCGTTAACCCCGTGCTCAGCGGTTTAGTATTGGCAAAAGAACACGTGAAAATTGTTTACAACACCCCATGCCATGTGTTGGTTGGTTGGAGATCCCCCCAGAAACCGATCGGCTTCGATCGAAATCGCTTCCTCATTCTCCTTGAGGTGCTCATTCTCCTTTACGATCTCATCATGATCCCCATGTACACCGCCTTTCCCTTGGCAACTCGGCCGCTGCTTCGGAGGGCTCGTCGGCCCCAGCGAGAAAAGTGAGCTCCTTCGTTGAGCTGAGCGAAACGTGCGGAAAGAACTCGGTGGTTTTTGGAAGGTCCTGGGGGGTGGTCCAACTTCCATGAAAGCAGGTCCTACTTTTGCCTGGACCCGACTTCACATGTTTCGTGACAAGTCCGGTGCGCCCGGGTTCACCACCTGTCAAAGTTGGTCTCCAAACAGCCGGGCCAGGAGGGTCCTGCTTCTGGGTGGTTTCTTTTTGTTGGCCAGCCTGGAGAAGAATGGCCTTGGCGGTGTCAATGCCTGCTCCTTGAGGGGTTCATGTAACTGCCGGACATGGCAAGTGCAGCAAGAGTAGAGAAAAGAAGATGCCACACTGCTTGCCTCTCATCTCCACCCTTTGCTGGCACAATTCAAAGTTCTCGTGATTAAACATATCAATCATTTTGGATGAAGTAACGAGTACCCATTAGCTCATGCTTCCTGAACTTTCAAGACAAGCCAAAACACCATAGCCAGGTTCTATAATAGCCTAGCCGTTCTGCCTGAGTCTGCCTGGCTCGCCGCTTCGTTCTGCAGGCACCGAACGTGTTTCTCTCCTTGATGACGGGTGTGACGTTGGGCTTTTGGACCTTGGACATCTTGGCGTGTTTCTGCGTGGGCTACTACGCCCGCGATGGGACCTTGGTGGTGAGCCTTCGAAAGATCGCCAAGCAGCAGCTCGTTTCGACAGACTACAGAGCGGCGGCAGGGCGAGTGGGGTGGGCCAGGAAGGGTGAGATGGTTCCCTGTCAAGTGGCCTGAAGGAATTTGCGGGAAATAGTAGCATCTTAGAAGAGGGAACTTGGAGAGTTTCTCATTCCCAGATGCTCCATGTATATCCATGTATGCCATATATGCCTACATTGGCCCCCGAAACCACCCCTGGCCTGATCGGCAGTCCTATGGCAGTCCCAGACAGGTCGTGGCTGGGCATTGGAAGGTACATCCTGCAGTTGGTTCCACCATGTTCCTTTTCCGCCTTGTCTCTCGGTTCAGCATGTTTTTGGTAGGTCTAGGCCATAATCGCCATGGAAGGTTGGCCATAATCGGGTGTCAGCAGCTTGCAGACGCACTTCGGATTCAAGCCTTTACAACGTACCAGCTGCTTCCGTTGGTCACCTGGATTCCACACGACTTCATTACAGGTCTAACAAGGGGCACCCCGACAGGAAGTGCTAGGTACAGTCAACGTGGAATTTCCATGTCCTGTCTTGGGAAAGCTCAAATTCATCTCTGGTTGAAAGCTCCCCCTCGTTTCCTGCTTGCAACCTGTTGTTCTCCCATGGCGTTTCTGGGCTCCAAAGGCTCCAGGCCGGGCACGTCGTTCCTGGACGCCGTTCCGGGCACACCGGCCGGAGGTATCTGTTCACGTGGTTCCCGCTCGACGTGATCATCGCCACCGGACCGTGGAGTTCGGAGAACGCGGTCCGCGGGGGCGGAGAGTGGGTGTTTGTCGAGCGGGTGTTTCATGTGGCTTAGGACATTTGGGCGTGCCTGGGGCTAGATGTGACTACACGTCACACTACCTGTTGTTTTCTTTTTTCTTCGAGATTGATGGAAGTTCACCTGAACTGGTAGTTCCAACATGTTCCAACCTATTGAGACCATCAACAACTGCCAAACAAAAAGAGATGTCAAAAAGGCCTATAGCCTAACACCCATTTGAGCCAGAGAAACCTCTCTATAAAGGTGGCCGTTTTTTTAACCGCATGGCACCCACTTGAGACTGGAACGACCCTCCCGTTCACCGTGCACCGTTCTTGGGACAGTACGTTCGGTCCGCCGGAGGGTCACTCACCACCAAGGCCCCCCCAAAAGAACAGTCTCAGTGGGCCAAACCGACAGGTGGTGAATGTGGGCACCGGACTTGTCACCAGGAAACATGTGAAGTCGGGTCCAGGTACATATTAGAAGAGCCTCAGAAAAGACATCAAACCTTTTGGATGTGAACCTGGGGATGTCTCTTAATTAAACTACCACCGAGCTTCGGCCGTGGCGCCATGCTTGCACCCAAGGTGAGCATTGATTGGATCATCGTTCTGGCGCTCATCTCTGAAGAGGAGGGCAAAAGCACCTTGCTTTGTTTGGAAGTTCGGCTCTCTTTCGTCTCCTTTTTTAGGTGGTGAGGTCGAAGAAGCTCCCAACTTGCCTGAAGTTGATGTTTGTGGATTGCCAATTGAGAGGCCTGTTTCGAGCAATTGTTTGAGATGATTGTGTATGGAATTGTATGGATATTGATATCTTTGTGTGTTCAGGTCTTTGTTTACAAATCCTCTTGGCAAGTATTCCAAATTCTTGTCATTCTTGCCTTGGTGCAACCATTCTGGAGCACAGCAAACCCTTCCTTTCCTCGGTCAGTTTTGCTGTGCCGTTTGGATGTTGTACTTGCGTGTTGTATTTGGTTGTACGCGTTTGCCACGGGTTCACCTGGGCGGTTTGGAGTGTAGAGGAGCTGCACCGGACACCGAGCACGGGAGAAAGAAAAACTACTACGTTGACCTGATCCGGGTGATGAAAGTGCTCCATGAAGATGAAAACTGTGGTTTAATGACTTCCTTGTTCAACTGTGTTCAAAAAATAGAGGTGCATGGTCTATCGTCGCTGTGTGAAACTCAAGTTCACCCGCTCCTTGCCCGTGAGACATCAAATCAGAGTCTGGATCAAGAGAAAGTTTACGAACTTGAGTTTGGCAGCTAGAGCCACCGTTTCCCGCAACTCTTCCTTTCAACCAATCCTTTTGCCATCCGCTACAGCTTGTTCTCTTTTTTCATGTTTTGTCCTTCCACTCTCACGCCATGAGTCACCTTGGCTTCACGCACGCCACACTCTCCACTTCCGAATTCCTTGCCTTGGGCGGCGGTGCCCACCCATCCCCTCAGGCGCTGGGCTCATGCGTGCGGGAAAGATGCTCCGCGCGCTGCGGGTGCTCCGCACGCTGCGCCTGCTGCGCTTGGCGAAGCTGCGGCAGCTCCTGTGGCCTGGGTAGCAGGTGGCTGGGAAGGTCCGAAGCATAGCCGGTGACGGAGTCCATTCGCACCGCCCTGGGTCACAGGTCCTTACGGACTCATAAGGAGTCATTAGGAGGAGTCAAGGAGCGGAGTCCGGAGAGTCCTGTGTGATCGCTCTTTTTGCTTTTGGAAGCGAAACGAACCTGCTTTCTACCCACAAGGGGGACCGGTGGGCAGGAGCCACATGTGGGAGATGCAAAAGGCATGTCACACGCAATCCGCACGCCATAGTCAGTTCGGGCACAATGTTCAGCATGTCCTGCAAGCTTGGACAGGGGGAGCTTGGGTCATTGGCTGTTGTTCGGTAATTCCATGTTTCCTTGACTTGGCTCTTGGTCGCTAGAATAAAGCAATGTTTTCCGCGCGGCCGGTTGGTTTAAGAAAACTGCGGCTCCTTGGGCGAAGACTGTACGACGAGTAGCGGATCCGGTCGTGCAGATGACAGGTCGGTAGATGACCGGCCCTTTTCTCATGAGAGTGTTGTACAGTGCTAGGTGGTTGGGTGACCAATGAGAGGAGCAACTGAGTCAGTGCTCAGAGAGGTTCATGTCGCAGAACAAGGCTCCAAAGTGAACAAGGTGGGGCACTAAGTACGTATATTGTCACAAGCACTCACATAGTAAGGCGCCCAGGGGGGAAAAAAAAAGAAAGCAACGCATTTTAAGTGTTGTGGGTAGAACGAAATGTTTCTCGCAAATGATGGATAGGAGCGAAGTGCGAAGTGTCGCTGTGAACAGGAACAGAGGGAGGAAAGAGAGAGAGAGAGAGGGAGAACGAGAGAGAGAGAGAGAAAGAAAGAAAGAAAGACAGATAGAAAAGGTTTGTAACAAGGTTCCTCCGGATGGAAACCGGAGTTGTAGTCCTCAAAGACCAAAAAGACGGACCACCTCAGTGTGTCCTGTGCCGAGGAACAAGCTGCAGGACTGGAAGGGGGATGGTGGACTGACTGACCCTTGTTGTTGGAAGGATCAAATGCAAGGCCCTCGGACCTGACGATATGAACAATGTGTGGTCGGCACAAGGTCCCACCCCTCCGAGAAAAAAGAAAACAACACACTCTGACTCACAAACGAAGTGGATGGCATGGCATCTTGGAATACCAGGTTCCTTTTGAAACATGATTTTTTCCACTTCCATCTTAGTGAGTCGGAGTGTGAACACAACGCCGTCAGCTGATGGAAGTCTTAGACCTCCAGGCTTCTCCAGTCTTAGACTCCAGGGTTCCTACGGCAGAGAGGTGTTCGGAAGTTCGCGAACTTCCGAGCATCTGAAGGATGGGGCGGAGGTGGCAAAACCACCTCGCCCTCGCCCAGTTCGATCGGATCCTCTGGGGGATGCCAGCAGGATGTACATGCACTATATGATCTATATGTATCTGTATAACTGATGTGCTGGACCATGGGATTCCAAAACTGGAAGTTTGGTTCCAAGTTGCCTCACAACCCAAATATCATCCACCAGCTTCTTCAGTTCATGACCCTTTTAGAGCCCCTAAGTGGCCAGTTGTGACCCTACTTAAGGCCCTTTTGTGACCTCAAAGCGGGATATCCAGTTCGGTCATTAAAGAATATACGAAGCTTCGGAAAGATGAGGTCTGACATGAGACTGTGGAGACCTCGAACCGGGACACAAACCGAATGAACCTCGGGTCAACAGATTCCTACCAACAGGGGGGTGTCAACCTGACATGGTTTGCTGCCGCCTCGAAGTACGGTGCGTTTCCGCCGGTCCGATCGGGAGTCCTTCGGAATGGGGCAGAGAGGAGAGACGTGGTTCATTTTGTCGGTCACGGTGGTTTGTTCACGGTCCTTTTTGGGGTGGGAAACGGTTGTGACATGGATTGAATTGGAACATATCATCACATAACATATCCATGTAAAGAGATGTAAAGTACCATGCTGAGCATCTCTGAATTCTTTTCACATCTACGTTTTCTTCTCCGACGTTGGAGAACGACCACATGGTTTACCACCTGACGAAAGAAGTGGGTTTTCCGAAAAGCCCGCCAGGACCAGGTGGATTCCGAGCACATTTCCGTGTGCCTTGGGCCCGGCCGAGCCGTTCTCGGTGCCAACGAAGCCGCACGGAACCGGTGGGACGAATTCGATGCGAGGCGCAAGAGGCGATGCGTCGGGACCACGTCGGAAGCACGGGGATTTCCGTCGGTAGGATAGACCGGATAGACCTGAGTGATGGTGTTGATGGCGATGATGGTCACAGGATTGCATGAGATCCTGGAATCCTGGTGAATCCAACGAAGTGTCCCAGGGATTGGACGAAGACTCCCCATGATTCATGGGCTCCTACACTCGGTGAGACTGGACGTTGCGACTGGGTCCACTGGGTGTCACCTCTTGGTCACCCTGAGTCTTGGGTCCGAAGAAGCTGGACCAGGACCGGACCGAGTTGGACTCAACAACCGACCCTAAGAGTTGGGGAAACGACCCCGAAACCAAGAACAGGAAGTGGAACAGGTCCCCTGGAAAAAAGACATGGTCGTTTACAAGCAGGGGATGGTTCCCCTTCCTTTTATTCTTTGAAAGAAGCTAGCTGTTTTGGTTGCAATCGACTCGACCTTGTTTCGTCGGAGATTGGTCAAACCAGAGGCCTGGTGAGAGGTCGAATGGCATGGCAAAAACATGCAAAAACCTTGAGAGAGACCAGCACTGCCCAGAGATCATTTGGAAGTTTGGTCCCTGGTTCTCAAAGTGATGCTTGTTCTTACCAACGGTCCCCAGCACCTTACCACAGCACTAGTCCATGATGTATTGAGGCTCTTGCTGGACCAAAATCAAGTTGTCACCTCCGACTTTCGCAGTTCCTGCTGGGTTTGACCATGGCTCCATGCCGACTCCATGCCGAGGCTCTTGGACATTGTCAAACTCTTGATTCTCATTTGTTTCATCAACCACTTCATCGCTTGCGCCTGGTATTTGGCCGCTCCGTCCAATTCAGTTGCTGTTCTTTGGGCATCGTACTACTGTTAGCCCTCCAGTACACCTGACCTGGATGGCCCCTATTCTCGCACTGTTCGGACTTGTTCACACCACAGATGAGCTGGATGCACAAACCAATAGCACTCCCCAAAGCACTCCCCAAACCAACCGTTCCCGCACCGGAGACGTTGAAAGAACGGTTTGTCCGGGCTCTGAAAGACTAAGAATCAGGCAGGTGACCAGTTCGAGTGGGCAGAGGATAGACCCACATACATAATATACATAGACACCCGCGCGGTGTCGGAATTTCAGCTGTGGATGTGCTTGGAAACGTTGGAAACCAGAGAAAACTGCTTGTGCTGGAAAATGTTTGTCACTACGTTCTGCTTCAATTGTTTTGCCATGGTTTTCAACATGATTGGAAATTCAAATAATTGATTAACATGTTTAGAGTTCAGTTTCCCACCTCAAAGAATAATACCAAACAACCATGGTCCATTGAAAAGCATTATATTGTCAAAGATTCATCATCATCTCTCTTAGATGTTGTTCAGATCATCCTACTTACCTATAATGATTATACTTACTTGAGATTGAAAAAGATGCGCAACACCGCCGTCCGGAGTTCCAACATCTGGCGGATGGTGCATGGTCGGCCAGCTCAACTCAGCTCAGGTTGGGTGCAACCCGCCTTCACAGTCGAACTCCTGGCTTGCGGTCGCTTGGGCCAGTCGAGCTGGGTCGTCAAACCTCAGTTGCCCTTGACAAAAAGGGAACCAAAAGGCCAATTGAGGGTCTCCTTGTGGGACAGATGCCTCGATTCCAGAGCCGGAAATCTGGGTGCCCCAACCATTGCGATAAGTCTGTGTTCTTTTGCAGTTTCTTCCAACACCCTACTGCAGTGTTCTGCGTATGTTCATTTGAGCTGCACCCAAGCAGGTCCTTCTCGGATGGGTTTTATCTCCATGTTTCAACGGATGGGCCCGGGTGTTCGCCTCCCTGATCTGAGGGACCCCACAATCCAGTAAAGTTGTATGATGGATTTTGGAGGAGATCAGATGTTTAATAACATAACTTACTTTAACCCAGTTGGTTCATATCAGTTGGGAGACTCCAGTAACTGATATATATATATACATATATATATATACACATTATATTGGATCATATTGGGCTTGTTGGATCGTGACTACAGCAAATGTCGCAGATCGACTGTTGCCCTGGTGGAGTCTCACCCTGGCTGAGTTCAGCGACGTGAGCCGTCGGACCGCGTGGATTCTGGGGAGGTCCACAGGCACATGAGCCATGGGAGGCCATAAGACTGGGGGGGGAACCCCAGCAGATTTGCACACAAGTTGTTCATCTCCAAGTCGTCCTGGAAAGGGGTCTCCTGATTTGGTAGATTCTCTCTCATGATTGGTCAAAGTCGTGACACTTGACCAATCCAAAATGCGACTGAAATCAGCTCATTAGTATTCATTAGTATCATAGCTCCAAGGTCTATAAAGGAAAATCTGAAGAACACCTGACTGACCAACCCGCGGCCTCACTCGGGCGCCTTGCTCGGGCTTCAGGTGGAGTTTGGACACCACGATTGTGAGGACCCCATGGATGACCAGTTGTTGTACAAGCTGCTTGGAGTTGTTTCACGGGCTGAGGTGAGTCAGAAGAAGGGTGTCGAGAGTGATTATGGGCTAAGAATGGCTAAGACGGCTAGAGTGGTACGCATCGACTCGTTTTGAAGACGATGATGGAAGATGGCCTTCCAGAAAGACTTGAGGATGGAGAGGGTATCAACAGGTGAGGATCGTCTTGATGGATCGTTTGGGCCGCGGAAAGAGCTTGGTGTTCCAACTCTCCTCGTTGAGGACGTCGTTCGATCATCGTCTCTTCTTCGAGCCTACGATCGATTGGGTGAACTCTTGAGAAGAACAAGGGGCAATTCCAAGAGTAGCTCCCAGAAAGCTTCTCCTTTCCATTCAATTCGGGTTTTTTCGCAGGATGCGGATGCGGGTCCCGACAAAAGTCCTGAGAGGACTTGACATTCCACAGACCTGGAGATTGGATCGTTTGGACCAGGGTTTACATGCCCCACCGCGGTCACAGCAAGGGGACGGCCTTTGAAACACTCAGGGCCCAGGGCCTTGAACTTCTCAGGGCTCAGGGCACTATGGGCTGAGTGAAAATAGTGTCCAGGCACAGGCAACAGAGAGCTCCATTTTGGGGGCCCCCAGACATGCGCAAAGCATCTTCACACTTAACTGGAAAGCTTTTGATGTGTTTTACATGTATATATAGAACTTCTTAAGTAGCTGGCAGCTTGCCTCATTAAGGTCCTTTTCCCAGCCCTGGAGCCTCCGCCTCAGTTCAGTTCACTTCGTGACGCCTGAGGTACACCACTAGCATGCATTGGTCTCTGACTCAATTTACTCCCGCCTCCATGAGCGCCTGGGCCGAACGCGTTCGGCCGGAGCCGGGTTCGGCCGGAGCCGTCCGAGCGGAAGTCCTTGGGCGAGCAGAGGGCCAGTGCCGGATGGTACGGGCAACACTGGTCTATTAGAAGAAGAAGAAGAAGAGTGATCAGTGATAAAGCAACTTGGGGGTGCTGCGAAGGCACCCATGGCAACCATGGCATGGCACGGACCCGGGCTTTTGGGAGCACGGCGGAAGCAGCCGCTCCAAGGTGTTCAGCCCACGAACACGGTGGAGCGCAGCTTCGCGATCGGCGTGCTGCTCTTCGTGCCTGTTCGATGAATGGCTGGGAAGACGTGGGGATGGGTGGCCGGTGGCACAGCCAAAGACAGCATTCCATGACAAGAATGGTTGACCATGTTGACATTCATGGCAAGAGACTTGGCTGTTTTTGAGCATTTTGTGCTGCCCAGCTGAACAAAAGCAAAGGGTCCGATGACTAGGACGGCTGGGAGGTGGTGAAGTGAAGATGAATCGGGTGGAAGCCTCTATAGACACCGGTGGGTTGGCACGTTTGGCACGTTTTCCAGCGAACAGGTCAAGGTCTGACCGAACTGGACAGGAACGGCAGAAACCGGGGTGTGAATGAGTTGAGATACAGCATGAAGGGAGTTTGTAATTTTTAGGTAATTCGTGTAGGAGTGTGTAGGGTTCAAGTTGGGCATATCATTTGCTCACTGCCAAAACTGAATCACGATCTTCCGGCCCTAAAAACAAACTACCTCTTGAATCCTCTTGAAGTGGCCCCACTTCCGCAGCCACTTCGGCCACTTCCACTTCCCTCGTCTCGCGCCGGTCGGCCGTCACTGGGTCGGTCGCTGGTCGCCACTCCAGGCGCTCTTAGTCTTCTCCTCCTTCGTGGCGAGCCTCACCGGAGCCGCTCGGCTCGGTACGTGCGACGGGCCGAGGGTTTGGAAGGGGGGCAGCCAGGCAGGCGGGTAGGCCGTGATGGGCGGCCACGTTCTCCTCTCCTACCGTGGATTTGGGTGGGCGAACGATCTGTCTCCCTACTCTGATTACTTTGTCTCTCACAAAACTGTCATAGTTCACAGAACTCATCTCTTTTGTTGAATGCAGGTTGAGACTCGGAAGAGCCAGATGAGAGGATCCAACATAAGCTTCAAGTCACGTTTGTTAGTCTGAGAGTTCTTTTTGGTTTTTACGCTAATGAATGGATCAACAATGATAAGCATGGGGTCTTCCAAAACAAATCCTCTTGCTGTTTGCAGGGCTGTTTCCCATTGCATTCCATTGCCTTCTAGATGTTTTCAGGACGAATGCAGCTAGTTACTAGTTACTAGTTGATGCCAGTTGTGGAGCGTTTGCCCCTTTCCAGACGGACATGATGCGGTTCTCACATGCGTTCTGCGTTCTTCAGATCACACGATTTCCTTCAGACACTCCATGGGACTGCCATATATGCCGCCCGGTTGACCCCCAAAAACACCCCAACTGATCGGCAGTCCTATGGCAGTCCCAGACAGTTCGTGTTTGGGTCATAGTCCATCTCCTCCAACACATGCCCGCGTCGAGAAACATCACCCCAGGGCTTACTTACTTACTCGCGGCACCTCATGTCCCGCAGAAATGTACGAGAGCCAGGCCACCACCAGCTTGCGGAAGATGACAGGACGGCACTCCTCGCAGCTGTGGCTCCTGCGCAAGTTCCTGCGACAGCGGGAGATCACCTTGGACCTTCAGGTTGGTCGGTCGGGAAGAGCGACCTTCAGAGCCTGCTGGGGGGGGGAACGGCTTATTGGTTCTCACAGAGTGAAGAAAAGGATCATCTGACAGAAGTTTGCTCATAGCTCACTGTTGCCAGAGGTGATGGTGATGATGGTGATGATTACACCAACACATCATGGCTTGTGGCCAGAATCTTAATCTTTGTCATCCAAAAGATGTCTCTTGAGCCAAAAGATGTCTCTTCCACCCAGAGAAAGATCATGGAAAGATTCGACTAGCAGCACCTCCAACAGGTCACCAATTGAAACCTGTGACAGGGCCCTGGAACCAACCCTCCATTTCGGAGACCTGGTTCGGTGCTGGTAGCATCATCCATTGGCCGACCGGTCAGTCCAAGCTGGGCCGGTCCCAGCCACAGCCCCACGCTCGGTCAGGCCGTTTTCCGCCGTCTTTCCTTCGGTCCGTTCTCGGTCAGGTCCGAATCAATCGATATATCAACGTGGTGCTCACCACCACCGAGAAGAGCGTCCAATATTCGGCCGCTTTGGAGATGTGTTCGATCTAGAATGGTGTGCGGGTGGATGGATGGACGTGCTGGATGGTGGACGTGCTCAGAGAGAGATTTGCCATCGATTCTCTCACCTATCACTGTGGAAACCAGTGGAAACTGCAGAGGAGATGGAAGCAATAGTAATTGGACCACGTGTTCACAGTGATAAATCTGCAGAAGCAAAGTTATCTAATGAGAGTGGATCCGGTGAATGAGTGTGTGTATTTCTTTGTTGATTAGATGGGCCTTTCGTATGCCTCTGGTGATGCCGGTATCATGCCGTCCTTGCCGCTCAGGATGTGAAACTCTTTGGAATGCTCTCTGGACCGCTGCACAATGAACTGCGGACAGAGCTGAATAAGCGGCTCTGAGACGGGAAGGAGGCGGAAGGAGATGCGGAATGCGGAAGGGTCTGGGACAGACCCTTAGGGTGACCGTGTTGGGCATAGGAACTGGCCGAAGGTGATGCTTTAATACCTAAGGGTTTGACAGGAGGAGAGAGTTGGGATGTATGGGTTGAACAAATGATGAACAATTAATAACTACTTTGCATTATTTTTGCTACTTTAATTGGATCACCCTCCCGGTCCTTCACATAAATATGGAACTGGCCCAGCAGGTGAAGGAAAACGGTCTTGAGAAGGTCGAGTTCCATGGCTTATGACTGGTACTTCCAGGGAAGCATGTGACCAGCGTAGATGTCTGAGTTTGATCCACACACAGCACCGTGTGGAGTTCACTCCCCCCTATAAAACCCCTATAGAACTCATCGCGCTTCCTCGCTGGAGTCTTCGCATTCCGCCCACCCAACCAGCGGCATTCCGCTTGACACATCGGAACTCCGTCGGCCAATGGACATCGCCCCAGTCGTCTCGGTGTTTCCAATTCCCAAAGGGCTCCGAGTCTCAGTCGAACGATGGTGTTTGTATACCCCGTGTCCGAACACGCCGTTGACGGACACGACTACTGTAGAGTATAATTGTCTTTTGGGATATGAACTGAAGCGTAGAGGCCCTAAACTCATGGTAGGTCCTGGCTGGTAAAGATCCCACAGTGCTCCATTCTGTTTTTGTTGCTTTGCATCATGGGGTCCATTTATCATCCCATACCTACAAATACTCATACTCTCCCTCCGCGTTTGACTGTAGAATATATTAAGCACGCAAACGAGACGGACAGTGTGACACGACACGCCTAGGCCTCGCTTGTTAGTCCATCCCTTCTTTGTGAATATGATGGACAAGTTCGAAGCCTTGATGCGAAAGGCAAGTCCGGTCGTGGTCGTTGGGGGCATACTGCGAGCATCCTACAGAGGTTAAGTGACCGTAAATAGGACCCGTAACCAAGGGTACCTATAGGATAGTCGAACTAGGGTTCTTCAACCTTTGCTGGATACTATGAGCATGTGGTCGTGGGGATCAATTCCCAGGTTAAAATCTGGATGAGCCCAGAAGAAAGACATCCATGTTGAGGTCACTCCTGCTTAGCCCGGTCAAGCTGGGCGATGAAGAATATTGGAAGCCTGGATGCGTGAGAAGATCTTAGGAACCAATCAGCCGGAGAAAGGTCCCCAAACAATCCCAAAGACCCACACCCCTCAATCGAAGTCAAGGATCCACAACTCTCCACTTCAAATTCTGTGGCCTTCCCGAAGGGAACCCCCCACCCACCCAAATACCCGCTGTCCCGCTTTTCGCAGTCACCGCCATCACCACAGCCGGCGTCTTCGCAGTCGCCACCAGGTGTGCTTCAAAGTGCCCAGCCAAGTCTCCTTGAGCCGCGCCGACATCCTCTTCTCCGCCGGTGAGGAGGGCAAGTCCATGTCGCGTGGCGTTCTTCGTCCGTCGGTCGGGTGTCGGACAGGCGTGAGCCGTGAGGCGGCGTGGGTGAGGTCACGGGGAGAGGGGGTAGAGTGGAGACTTCGTTGGCTTCAGAAGATCCATTTGGAGCGTGGAGATCCGGTTTCAGACATTGTCAGATGCAGATCTCCAGTGTTCATCAGTCTCCACCAAAAGATGTATTGTTTAGTATTAACCTTTTTTTTAACGCCAAGACTTCTTTGTATGCTTAGCCTTCTTAGGGCTTTGCTTTGTTCCCTACCGCTAGAGCATGCAGATGCACATTGTTGTTTCAGTTGGCAAGCGTTGGTAAGCGGCATATGCCACGCCATGAAGTCATTGACAGCCAGCAAAGATAATTCATGTCAGCCTCTCACGTGAGGTATTTCTTGAGCAGTGGCACTTCGGCAACCGTTTGCGTGGCGTGGGCATTGCGCGATGTGCACGAGAATGGGGCTCTTTCGTGCAGTTGTTGTTCATGGACAGTCACTAGCCTAGCAACTAGCAACTCCTGACGAAAGCAGAAGTAGCGCCATCCACACCTGAACTTGCTTTATGATGTTTTATGTATATAAATCAGCACCGGGTGTTTCACTGCTTTGAAGCCGCTCCTGGATGCGCAGATGGTCAGAGGAATACAGGAAAAGCTCACAAATCCAAGAAGATGGTCTTCTGCCAAGTGTCATTTCCTCCGTGGAAGCCAGGATCATGCACCCCTCTCCCTCCTTCTTAGATTCTTGTGCTGGTGGGGATGGTTGTTCTGACAGATTGTCGAGTCGGTGGTTGCCTATGTTCAGAGAACCCTCACGCCTTGCTGTAACAAAATCAACTATGGTTGAACCACTTCCATCACACACGAGTTTTGTTGCTAAACAGCCTTCAAGAGGTGGAGTAAATCAATTGGCATGCCAACACCAGTAAGTGCTGGTCGGAATGAATGTGTGGTTTCTTCAGGATTCAGCAGATGATCAAAATAGCCGTCCGGTCCGCCTCGACCAGACCACGTCCGCAGCCCTGTCCTCATCAGGGAGCCTGGACTACATGCAGCACGAGACCAAGGAGTTCGAACAGGTGAAAGCCAACGAGATCCTGGGATTGAACGCCAGCTGAAACGGATTGAAACGGGGTCCTTCTTTCGGGGAGCATCATGCGTTAATGCTGTAGACATTGGACTGTAGATGCGTTCCCCAGAAAGATGACATGTCCATCCTTTGTTGGAAGCACTGAAGCACTTCTTGATGTTCAAACATGCATTCGAGCACTTGGATTGAAAAGAGCCTAGGTGCATCCACGTTGAAGTCTCCACTTCCGTGTTGAGAACGATTTTGGGGTGGTGTTGGCAACAGGTTGTTTTTCAGGGTGAGGACATGTCGTGAGGACCATGCCATGGGACAATCCCAGGCAATACCTGTTTGAACAGCATCCACCTAAGCCAGCGATTTGAGATTGTTTGTCTTTTGCCGAAAGGGACACGGAGAAGGAAGCTGCAGGACTCCATGTCTTTTTGCCCACAATTTGACTGATTGATCACTTTAAGACATAGCACTCCAGGACACAACAGTTCAACAGAACTCGCAACAAAACTGCACTCCCACCAGAAGGTCTCTTCTTGAAAGAAAACTGAACTGCCAGCATCTCCCAGGATCAGGATCCCAATGTTTCGGTTGCTTTTCCACCTTGCCAGGACCTTGCCCACCCCATCTCCTTCGTTGTCGTCCCACCCGTGAGTTGTAAGTCAGCGTCCCTGAGGTGGTTTTGCGAAGTGGTTTTGTGGACCCCATGGGTGCACCAGGGGCGACTTCGAGCCAAGCCCTTTGGCAGACCTCGTCGCGTCGGTCGAGGAAGTGAAGCCCACGACTGGGGGGGGGCCAGAAAGATCACAGGGATGGGAGTCAGCTGGAACCCGGCTGGAACGTGGCTTGATCCTCTCTCTTGTTCACCTTGAGGTCCGCTTCTTTGTGCCTCACGCGCTGGGATTTCATTCCTCAAATGGCCAAAGCCTGGCCCTGCTACATCACTCAAAGGAAGAATTGCTCAAGTCAAAACCCAAATGATGGAACCCTCGAACTTCATCCCCATCACCGCCCCTTGACGGGGTACGTGCGCATTCAACAAATATGCAATAAGAGTGGTGTGGGGGGTCGCATCTACTGAGGCGACTCTGTAAGAGACACCAGCTGGATGTGCTGCCTCCTTGCCGTTTCCAATCCTTTCCCAAATCCTTCATGATCTTCATGGTCCACCGGTGAAGCCACTACCGTCTCGTATCGTTTTGTATACCGTTTCGTAGGGCCACAGGTTTCCCAAAAACCACACGCACGACAACCGAACCCAGGATCGAGACGGAGCTCATCGAGCTGAGCAGCGAGAAGTTCCGGGAGGTGGTCGCGGAGTATCCCAAGCACCTCTCCTTCATGAGGCGACCTGCGCCTGTTCGGGGACGGCGCGCGGATGTTTGCGCCTGCGCGCGAACAGGCGAGCGAGCGAGCGTGCGCGCGAAGGGATGTCTGCGAGCGGAGCGGAGCGAGGGCGCCTAGCCATCCACAGGAGAGTCTTCTCAGCACGGTTTGGAGGTCGAGTGGTTGGAGCAAGTATGAGCAAGTACAACGTTGTGAGGATGGTTGAAACCACCAACTCGAAGGCACATGTGCAAAAACAGTGGCCTGCTGCAGAAAAACGTGAAATGGATTGAAATGGCTCGCCATCCGAACAAAACACAAAGTACACACAAAGAGACTATAGTGACTAGCAGCATATCAAAACCAGCCGAAAACCACAAGGAAATAACAAGAATAAGACTCTGTTTGCAGGATGTATGGTCTTTCCTTCTTGGCCCAGCTCCATGAGCTGTACCTGGAGAAGGATCATCACCTGTCACTGGGACGTAGTCGGCGCCTGTGCGGCGGCGTCGGCGCCTGTGCGTCGGTGCTTCGGCGCGTGGTCGGCGTCGTTATTGTCTCGAATCGATGGCACCAGGGAATGTTGGTCTTTCTTGGAAAGACGGATGAGAAACTGAGCTTGTTCTTTTTCTCGCTTCTGAAGACGGTTGTCGAAGGAAGCCGATGTTGAACAGAGGTGCCTATATGATCCTATATGTGCCTAATAGGGTAGACCCTATATATATACATATACACAATGATCCGACAAAATGCATCTATTGTGTAACAATTAGAAGATACTAGAACTGCACATATATAGGCGGACAAAAAGATCAAAGCCACAGCTTTGCGGACAGTAGAGGTGACAGTTCCCAACCACAAGTTCAATTCACATGGGGTGTTTTGCAATGGTGTACACCTATTTCTTTTGTGGGACATTTGCAGTTGCTTGCTTCATGAAGATTTTCTCAAGAGAAGTTCTGAGCAGAAAGCAGGACACCCGATTTGCAGTCATGTTCCACTAGACTCCTGAACAAAACCCCCAGCATCTCCGACACCGGTGCTTCTTGGGGATTGGCCAAGACTTGCAGCCATCCTGCTAAACAGTTTCCGTTCTAAGGACTGATTTGGACATGAACATTGCAGCTGCTCGGTACGCAAGAGATGCCCAGGGTTGCACCAGGCTCGCGAGAGGCGCAGCCACCGAGAGAGGCCTTGCAGGAACAAGATGCCCTCCCCGATCGCGATGGCCACTTCAATGTTGGCGTTGGAAGAGGATGGTGCCAAAATGTATGAGCGTCATGATTCTCTTGTATGAGAGACATGGGGTTCCGCTTGAATGGGTATTGGATGGATTTGTTCGGTGTTCTTTTGTGAGGGGGGACATCCCACCACCTGGGGCATGGTACCTGGACCATGCGGGCGACCTGCTGAAGAGCTGCAAGTGCCTGGTCTAGTGATGATGAATTCCACCCCTGTAGGCGTTTCTATGGTTTCCTGACCTCAAGCAACCGCGGTGAAAAAATTTGAAGATACCAAAAGCAAGGGTGCCAGTCCTGCCGAACAGCAGGACTGGATCGCAGCCGAACAGCAGGACTGGATCGCAGGATCGACAACAGGGATAATGAGGTTTTAGTTGAGGTTTTATATGGTTTCATACTGTTTGTTGGCCCATCCAACTAGGAACGAACCTCTTTTTTGATCCCCAGATACCCTCACTTACAGTGGCTTGGATCGCACTGGATCACTAGAGCGAAAAAAGCACGGCTTCTCTCGAGGTCAGCGAGAAGATGACGGACTTTTTGCAGCTCGAATTGGTGCCTGGACTGGTTTGGAGGGAGCGGGAGAGAGCCCCTGGGAGTTCCCGACCCACTTGCTAGTTGAAGCCATGAGGCAACTGGGCTAGGCATTGTGTGAATGGGCCCCCCTCCAACCTCCAACCAATGGTTTGAGGCATGATTGAGTCGTCGCCGTCGTCCTCCTTATCCTTCATCATCATCATCATCATCATCATCATCATCATCAGCATCAGCATCAGCATCAGCAGCAGCAGCAGCAGCAGCTTTTCATGTTGTATTCTATTTGTCCCTCACCTGTGATTTGCCGGGCTTTGCCGATCGTGTAGTGTTCTTTGAGAGACACACTGCGAGAGCCAGTGCTTCTGCACAGAGGGAAAGGCTAAAAGCCTGGTTGGTCTGGTTGGTTTTCTCTGTGAGGCACCCCAAACCCTAGAAGTCCAGCTCCATATTTTGACCAACTGAAGTAGAGGACATTCCTGGACTCGGGTCGCCCAAACACCATTCCTTGGTTCACCCATCGATGGATCCGATAGGTCCGCCCGGGTCGGTCCGTGGGTTTGGCGCTTGCCGTCGTGGCCGGTTGACCCCCCATGGGCTCGGATCCGGTGAGTAGATGGTGAGTTCAGGTGCAATGGAATGAAGGAAAGGCGCACCCAAATTGGATTGGACAGAGCGCCGGTTTGCGACGCAGACGACTCCAACCGGTGGTGTTCCGATCGATGTTCCGATCACTTCATCCGTCGCTCGAGGCTGCAGATGATGACACACAAACGGTGGTGAGCGCCGTCACTGGGGCTTGATCGACACGCAGGGCCCAATGGGGTTCACATTCTGATTACAATTTAGGATTCTCTAGGGCTCCAGTCGTACCCCCGGAGAAGGTGTTTGGGGATGTTTGGGGGAGGGTGCCAGGAAGGTCCGGTCATACCGAACCTGTTAGGGATTATAGATACCCCACATTGCCCACCCCTTATTGGGATATTTCAGTTGGACGGGGCCCTCCTGGATAGGGGTGGGTATGGGATTATCCAATGTTATCCGAAGTTTGCGGTCAGTTCTTCTACATATATATGAGATATTCATGGATATGCCACAGCTTGATATTTTCGGGAACTCATCCTTCTTATTCCATCGTATTCCGCACATTGGCTGACCAGCGAAGCACGAAGGTTTGGCACAACGAGTGGTTGTTCACATGGTCATTGTCTCTTGCCTTGCCAACCTGAAGTGTACTCCTTTGTTTTGGGGGTCTTCCGTTTTGGAGATCTTCCGACCCCTGGACGGTGGCACCGGACGGTCGTACGGGATGTGCTGGAAACACATGACGGATGGCAACGATCAAGCACCGGAAAGGATTCTGAGCGACACAGAAATTTGCACTGCACTGTGGAGAACACACCTTCTTATATATTATATTATATTACAGGTGTGTTGGAATGTAGTTGTCGTTCGGTATTCCTTGATTTGTAATGTTCGATTGCTATATCACCGAGATTCACACACGGGGCACCTGATTCAAACATCTTAGCAGAAGCGACAGAAACAGAAGCACTGTTGGCTGATCATAGTTTAGCGATGTATAGCGCTTTGGACTGCTTTGAATGTGTCAGGGCTGATGAGTACAATCTTGGAGAAGAACACAAGGACGTTCGCAAGACAAACAAACCCTTTTGGAATCCCCGACGATTCTTCCTGGTCGCTGACTCTTGGCCGTTGGACTCCTATAGCTGCTCGCTTAAGGCATCCGCCTTCTTCGTATGGCCCACGAAAACCAACTCGAAGGAGACTGAGTTCCCACAGGCAGCGGCATCGTTTTTGCACGCGTGTGACAAAGACCGACCGCAGTTCGAGAACTGCCTTACCAGTGCTGCCCGTGGATATTCCTGGCAAGAATTTGCATTTGGTCCCAAAACATTCCCAAACCATTTACTGGAGATCTCCTTAATGGAAAAAAAAAACACCCTCAATGGGTTTGTACTGGTGATGTATGGACTCTTGAGGTACATCAAACCCCCTCCTCTCATTCGAGGCCTGACACAGGCGGGGTGAAGCCGAGTCCTCCGTGGCCGTCGTCCGCCCCTGGTCCCACCGGGGCGTCTGGTCCGGGGTCGTCCGGGGTCGTCCGGGAGGGTGTCCGGTCCGTGAGTTCTGCTGTCATGTCATGTCAAGACCCATTTGGGATCCGTTTTCGTACCGAACCTGAGAGGTTCGGTACAGACCCGACTGGCTGGCACCTGTCAATGTCGAACATAGTGGCACCATGTGGCACCCATACCTGAGGTTCGGTACGAAAACGGATCCGGGATCGGAATTCGCCATGACTCTTGGAACCTTGGACCATCAACCTGCGGGTCGTGAGTCGTGAGTCTTTCAGCAGGCAGGTGGTCTCCCACAACACTCCATCCCACCGGACCCCCTCCTTGGAACGCACTGAGTCGTGATCCTGTTGCCCGTGCGGCCCGTGGGCACTTTCTTTGAGGTCTATGCGGGGAGATAGGTCACCTCCGCCTGAGTGACCTATTTTGGACTACCAACCATCAAACAAAATACAGTATACTATTTTCATCTATTTTCCTATCAAAACCCAGGATAACCGAGGTCATGTCTGGCGTCCTCGGTTCTTACTTGTTTCCTCGTCCGTTCCTCCTCTTTGTCGCTGGTCTTTCACGCACGTCCATCCCGTGAAACCCCCCTCGCAGCACTCCAACCGCAGCACCACCCGCAGTGCTGGGAGACTGCCATGGGGCACCGGGCCGGACCGTCCACGTCCTGCGCACTGGTCCGTTGAAGTCGATCGGTTCGGAGGTCCAAAGGCTCCGAACCATGTGGCACGTGCTGCAACGGTTGCCGTGGCAGGTGGGCCCAAGATATGTCCGAGCGAAGTCGAGGTACAAGCTCACCTCCAGCGCAGCCTGGCGTGGCCGGGGTTGGGCCTGGTGTTACTATCCTTGAGCAGATGGGAATCAAAAACAGGTCCAAACAGGTCCAAGTTTCGTCCAATTCTTTCTGATCCAGCACGCTTGCGACATCTCCTTCGTGTGTAGTGGCCCGACTACGTATTGTGTGGGATGACCATCCAAGGCTACATCCACGAGAAAGGGACCTGACGATTCCATCTATAGAAGGGCTGTGCAGCTGTGCACTTCTTATCATTTCTTCTTTGTATGGGTGCGGGCTGTACTCCACCATTTATGGAGTGTGGTTTCAGCTTTGGTGATGCAGGTAATGCTTCTGTGCATTGCAGCTGTGTTCTCAACACAATGTTGTGTTGAGTCAGGAATTCCGTGGGCTCCGGTTTGGGCGGATAATGGTCAAGAACAAAGATGAAAGGTCTCAGGAGTTTGGCTATGGCTGATGCAAAAAATGAGGGATTTAGACGACCTCTCTATCAGGAAGACCACACCTTCCAGAATGGTCAAGCACCCCGCGAGCAGATTGGTCCGCCTCATCCTCTTCAACGCAGGCTCCCGCCACAACGGTTTGTACTCAACCTCGTGGATGTTAATCTCCTGAGTGTTGTTGATCGAGATTCTTTGATATGCCAAAATATACATCCTACAATAAAGGCCTTTCGCCTGCGTTTTTGCATCCCACTCCGCTCCTAAACATTCGCATGCCCTTGTTTGTATCATAATGTGTCATATTCCGGCCTTTGGAGAGGCACGAATTCAGGCCCGAATCCATGTTCTTTGCGTTTGCCGCCAAGGAGAGCAGTGTGTTCGACGATAACTCCCCAACGAAGAGCTACCTGGGGGACGAGGCCTCAGCGAGAAGCTACCTGGAAGTACTTCAGATTTGGGGTGGCCTACACTCCCAAAAACTAACATGGACCTTGACTGGCTGGCCTCCTGGAAGATTGTTTTCCTCTACCAACCAGTGGTTTTCAGGGTCCATGTTAGTCTTCCAGGGTGTAAGGGGGTTTGGAACCTGTGGCTCACTTGCAAAAACGCCACGGACCAACCATGTTCCGGAGCGGCTATCCGCATTGTTTGAATCGCCACAGAGGATGATTCTGTCCGAAATCCGGAGTGGCACCGTGTCAGACACCGTTTGCTCACCGTATATTTCAGGGTTATGATTTGATGCGGTGCTTTTCCCACGAGAACATGGTTTTCAATGGAGTTCCTCATGATCTCATGTCGTAATCATATTGTAATCATATTATAGTACTGCAAAAAAGCTTTGTATATAATTAGTGTCAATATCAATCATTTCTTAGCCCTATGTCCAGTCTCCTCTCCGGCAATCCTGCGCAGAAACTGCCAGAGGCTGGCGAGATCTTGTCAATTCGCCAGAATGTGGGACGGATTTCATCATTTTCATCCAACTCAACTGACATTCGGTTCCTGTTTCTGTGGTGATCGTTGCTCGTTCATGGCCTTCAACCCATCCACTCCACCCATCGGCGCCTGTTGGCTGCCGGTGCTTGGCCCTCGGCCTGGCCCGTGACCTGGACCTGTGGTGATGTGAAGGCCTTTTGGAATGAATTGGATTACCCAAACTCCAACTGGAGGTGCAAGGGAGAAACTCGGCACCAGCTGGGATACCAGGGAAGAGGCCTCCTTGTCAATCCCTCTTCAGGTGGGTTTTGTTTGTTCTTTGTTACTTTTTCAGTCCGATCACCTCCCAAATCATCGAAGTATGTGTGTCCTCTCGATCTACCGGGGTTCGGCGACCCTTTCACCCTTTCAAGTCACAGTGTGAGGCTCTTTTTGCTGGTTGGAACTTGCCGTGACATCGACTCTCGGTGTTTGTTTTTTTTCTCGTTGACCTCCAAAAACGACCGCCTGCATGTGGCCCTCGCCGGCGTCGACACGTCTCTTCGATGTTCGAGGCTTGGAGGAGGACATTGAGATCTGAGTGGCAAATCATCGCCCCAAGAGCACGCGGCGACCAGACCGGACCGATCGGAATGAGGCAGGCGAAGTGAGCGCATCACACAGGAGATGATGTTCAGTACCTAGGGTTGCCCGAGTCCATGGCAGGGGTCGGACCTCCATAGCAGGGGTCCGGGGCCTCAAAGCTCCATCTGTTTGAGGGCCCGGATTCTTAAGGTAAATAAACCATGCAACGAGGTCCAAGCATCCTGAAGCTCCAGTTTCCAAAGTTCCAAAGTCAAGTTCCAAAGCCGAGGTGATGAACCGATACAGATCACAGCCCCCTGCGTTCTTGATTCAACAGAAAAGAATCATCAAAAAGCCAAAAGGTTCCTTGCGATTCCAAAGGTTACACACACATATGAGGTTCTTGCGCCCCTGGCAGGGGCCCGGGGATCTAATAAAATCAAACCAGTTGTGTGCCCATGTGTGCCCCAATATGAGGACGGGCTGAGCATTTGGGTAAAGTACACCTCTTTTGAAGATCGGTTAGTTTGGATGACGAGGGCCATGGTCAGATTCTGTAGTCTAAGTGAGGTGTTCTACCGCTTTAGGAGAGATTTCATCACCGATTACAGGATGAACCGGATTTATATATACTGTAATGATATATAATTTTATATATATAATGATATATAATACATATATACATGTATTTATATAGATATATATGTATATGTATACACCCCAGGGCTCCAGTCGTACCTCCTCATGACTGGACCCTCCCGGCACCCTCCCCAAACATCCCCACTCCCACCTTCTAAGCAGGTACGACTGGAGCCCTAGGGATATATTTTTTTTACATATACACCCGAATTACGCATTCAAACCCTTTAAAAACAAAGGGCTCTCAGGAAAACATCGTGTTTTGGCAAGGATGTACTCAAAACCACTAAAAACCTCGGGTGTTCCATATACAACGCGCACAGCTCCGCTTAGAAATTGGGAACAATTGTTGGTTTGCACAAGGGAAGCAGGGCATGGACGCCAGGCCTATCGAAAATCACATGTGACACCGAGAAATTCCCCCAATAAGCCCACTTACCACTATATATAAGGAACCTGCCTGGACCTTCAAGGGGTGTCCAATGGAGGTAGTGGTGCAGGGGCTTCCATTGGTGACCCCAACATAAAGGTGCTGGTATGCGTTCTTGGTCTATGGGTTTCCCAGCGAAATCATTCCGATGCCCTGGGTCCTATTGCCATTCCCTTTGATGGTATGGTTTCATCTATACGCGGATTCTGATTTCGAAAAACCATCTTCCGATCGTCTCGTTCGATCCACGCCTGAACGCCCGGGTGGAGCACGGGTTTCTGACAGCAGCCTTTTTTTTTGGAAGAGAACGGCCTAAGGCCGGTCGAAAGCGTTTCACTGAAGCCGGGTCCAGGACCGTCTTTGAGGCGGTTGTCTACCACTTTTTGCAGAAAACCACGTCCGGTTTTTCGAGGTTCTGGTTCGCTCAGTTCCTGGGCCCTGGAATGAAAGGGATCGGTGGTTTTTGAAATCCCTTTCGTTACAACACGTGGAGTTTTGTTTTCCGCCGTTGGTGTGGTGTGGGCAGGAAAGGAGGAGTCGGGTCAAAGTGACTCGCGTCAAAAAGAGCAACAAAACGAAGTGACTGTGGTATACTGTTGTTCGTTTTTGTTCCCAGCATTTGTTTTGCAGATGCTGAAGCTGCCCTCCCTACATCGCTAGAAAGCCCAGCGTGCCAATCTCGGAGAATGGTGCCAACTGCTGGACAAGCGACTGGCTGGGCCTGGGTGATGGTGTCAAGCTCGAAAATGTTCCTGGAATTTGGGGGGGTGACCCCCCTTTGGCTCCTATTTGGTGTTTTTCCCGAATGCGTAGCGAAGGGTTCCCGTCTATAGTTGGGGGTCTGGGGGTTGGACCTGTGTTTGCATGGCTTGCGTCGTGGGTCGTCGTCTCTCGTCGTCTGTCGTCGTCTCTCGTCGTCGTGTCGTCGTCGTCGCGTCTCAAATTCGCTGCCATTGGGGGAAGCTTTTGCAAGTGACTTTGCATGGATGTGTCACGTGTCAGTTTGCGCCGCTATTCCATTGTGATTTGCGTGACACGGACATGTCGCGCAAGAAACGTGATGCATTTCGCTGCACAGGCGCAGCGTTTTGTGAGATCCGCAGTTTGCTGCGCAGTGCCATTGGGATTAGCGTTTGGAGAGTCGTGTTTTTGGGGTGTTGGATGTGGCCGTGCCATTGGGATTTGCGTTTCAGGGTGTGGCATCGAAGCTCGGTTTTCGTGACAAGTCTCAGCTGAAATGGCGATTTTGGTGGATGGGAGTGTGCTCTGAACGGGTCGAAATCATTCCAAGCGTGTGGTGTGGTGCAAATTTTGTTGAAGCTCACATGCGATGATATTGTCACTTTTCGTGGCATGCGCAGGACTTCGTACGGGTTTTGAGGCGTGGAAGTGCGATTCTCGTGGCAGGCGCAGGGAATCGTGAGGTTGTGAGTTGTGGTAGAGGTGAATGTCGCTGTCACATTGGGATTGGCGTGTGAGCGGATGTTGTTTGGAGGGGCTGGAATCGCGAAACTGCTTGGCAGGGCTGCGTGATGTGTGTGCTCCGATGGGTGTTTCCGCTTGACTTTTGGAGGAAGTCTCGTACGAAACGCTCGTTTTGGAGACTTGACGCGCAACCCTCTGCGGAGATCGTGCGTGTCGAGTGTGCGAAATGCAGGCGAGACGCGCAACCCTCTGCGGAGATCGTGCGTGTCGAGTGCGCGAAATGCAGGCGAGAGTGCGATTTGCCCCATGCGCACGCAACCCTCTGCGGAGATCGTGCGTGTCGAGTGCGCGAAATGCAGGCGAGAGTGCGATTTGTCCGGTGCCCGCGCAACCCTCTGCGGAGATCGTGCGTGTGGAGCGCGCGAAATGCAGGCGAGCACTGGCGACTTTGTGGTACAACTTGAGTACGCGGAGCAATCTGTGGAGCTGGAAGCTGAGAACTGGCGACCTTGTAGTACAATTAGTACGCGGAGGAATCTGTGGAGCTGGAAGCTGAGAACTGGCGACTTCGTCTGGGGAGCTGGAAGAGAGTCCCACAAGAGTGTCCCCCAACAGTGTCCCGCTAGAGTGTCTCACAAGAGTGTCCCTTAAGAGTGTCCTACAGGAGTATCCCACAAGAGTGTCCTACAAGAGTGTCCCACAAGAGTGTCAAACAAGAGTGTCCTACAAGACTGTCCCACAAGAGTATCCTACAAGAGTGTCCCACAAGAGAGTCCCACAAGAGTGTCCCACAGAGTGTCCCACAAGAGTGTCCCACAAGAGTTTCCTACAAGAGTGACCCACAAGAGTGTTCCACAAGAGTGTCCTACAAGAGTGTCCCACAAGAGTGTCCCACAAGAGTGTCCTATAAGAGTGTCCCACAAGAGTGTCCTACAAGAGTGTCCCACAAGAGTTTCCTACAAGAGCGTCGCACAAGAGTGTCCCACAAGAGTGTCCCACAAGAGTGTCCTACAAGAGTGTTCTACAAGAGTGTCCCACAAGAGTGTCCCACAAGAGTGTCCCGCAACAGTGTCGCTCAAGAGTGTCTCACAGGAGTGTCCCTTAAGAGTGTCCGACAAGAGTATCCCACAAGAGTGTCCTACAAGAGTGTCCCACAAGAGTGTCCCACAAGAGTGGCCCACAAGAGTGTCTCACAAGAGTGTCCCACAAGAGTGTCCCACAAGAGTCGCAGAGGAGTTTCCTACAAGAGTGACCCACAAGAGTGTCCTACAAGAGTGTCCTACAAGAGTGTCCCAGGGAAGAGTGTCCCACAAGAGTGTCCTACAAGAGTGCCCCACAAGAGTGACCCACAAGAGTGTCCTACAAGAGTGTCCTACAAGAGTGTCCCAGAAGAGTGTCCCACAAGAGTGTCCTATAAGAGTGTCCCACAAGAGTGTCCCACAAGAGTGTCCTACAAGAGTGTTCTTGGGTGAGGACGTTAGTCGGGTATGTGGCGTACTGCCGGAGTGTCCCACAAGAGTGTCTCACAAGAGTGTCCCACAAGAGTTTCCTACAAGAGTGTCCCACAAGAGTGTCCTACAAAAGGGTCCCACAAGAGTGTTCCACAAGAGTGTCCTATAAGAGTGTCCCACAAGAGTGTCCTACAAGAGTCCCACAGGAGTTTCCTACAAGAGTGACCCACAAGAGTGTCCTACAAGAGTGTCCTACAAGAGTGTCCCAGAAGAGTGTCCCACAAGAGTGTCCTACAAGAGTGCCCCACAAGAGTAACCCACAAGAGTGTCCTACAAGAGTGTCCCAGAAGAGTGTCCCACAAGAGTGTCCTACAAGAGTGTCCCACAAGAGTGTCCTACAAGACTGTCCCACAACAGTGTCCCACTAGAGTGTCCCACAAG